CAACCCAATTTCCGACGGATTTTGACCGTCGGTAATTTCAATATTTCTTGTAATGATTGTTTTATATATTTATATATTTATATATTTGTATATTTATATATTTATATATTTATATATTTATATATTTATATATTTATATATTTATATATTTATATATTTATATATTTATATATTTATATATTTATATATTTATATATTTATATATTTATATATTTATATATTTATATATTTGTATATTTATATATTATATATTATATATTATATATTATATATTATATATTATATATTATATATTATATATTATATATTATATATTATATATTATATATTATATATTATATATTATATATTATATATTATATATTATATATTATATATTATATATTATATATTATATATTATATATTATATATTTATTTTTTAAATTTATTTAATTTAATAAATTATTATAAATTAATCTAATTATGATTAAATTAAATTATTAAATAAAAAATATTTACTTTTTTAATTAGGTGAATAATTAATTTATTAGAATATATTAAGTAATTATTATATAATTTTACCGATGGATATATCTATCGGTAATTAATTGTTAATTTATCGATAGATTTACCGACGGAAATATCCGTCGGTAAATAATTGTTAATTTACCGACAAATTTATCGACGAATATATTTGTCAGTAATTAATTGCTAATTTATCGACAAATTTACCGACAGATATATCCGTTGAAAATTAATTATTAATTTACCGATGGATATATCTGTCGGTAACTAATTATTATTTTACCGACGGATATATCCGTCGGTAAGACCAAATTCTATATTCGTCGGTAATGACTCATTTTCCAACGATTACAAATCTGTCAATGAAAATCAGTCGAAAATATGCAATTTTCTTATAGTGAATGAAATATTCATTAATTATTCTTGCATCTAGTTTCTTTTCTTACGGATTGTATTCTTACTTTTGTTTGACAACCTCAAACATGCAGGTGTCTCAAACTAGGTTTCCTACTTGTCCATAACTCAACAAGAGTCTTTTGAACAACTTTACTAAGAACCATATACAACAAATACATGGCAGTCTTCAAAGCATACATCCACAATGATACAGGTAAATATGAATTACTTAACATGATCTTAACCATATTCATTAAAGTTCGATTATGTCTTTCTAACACATCATTTTGTTGTGTTGTGTATGACATTGTGTATTGAACACAAATACCACGTTTCTCAAGGAACTTAATAAAAAAATCAGGGTATTGTCCGCTTTCATCATATCTTCCATAATATTCACCACCTTTATTTAACTTGACAATTTTGACCTTTCTATCTAATTGTCTCTCCACTTCATTTATATAAACTTCCAAAGCATTCAATGCTTAAGATTTCTCAAATAGTAAATAGACATATCCATAACGCAAGAAATCATCAATGAAGATGATGAAAAAATTTTATTTATTGAAAGAATTTATATCAAATGGACCACATATATCAGTGTGAATGATTTCAAGAAATTGAGTGTTTCTTGTAGCTCATTTCTTTATGTGTTTTGTCGGTTTGTCTTTAATACAATCCACACATATATTCTGATTAGTAAAATCTAAATCCGAAAGGATTTCACTCTTTATTAATCTTTACATTTTTCCTTTAGAAATATGTCTCGAACGCTTATGTCACAAGTAAACAGATTGTTCATCCACCAAATTATGTTTAGTGTCAACATTGTGATGTAAGGTCATGAGAGTTTCAACATATAAATTATTCAAATTCAATTTATATAAACCATTATAAAGTGTATCGGATTCAATCATACAAGTACGATTAAACAAACTGAAACAATCATTCCCAAACTTAAAAGAGTATCCAGCAACATCAAGCTTAGACAAAGAAACTAAATTCCTAGTGATACTAGGTACATAAAAAGTATTCATAAGGTCTAAGTGATATCCAGTGTCAAGGATTAAATGATAAGTCCCGCCAGCTTCCATTGGAACCTTCACTTTATTCTCCATGAAGATGAACTTTTCATTTGGGTTTATGGATTGGGTTGAAAGGAATCTATGCATTATATTAGAAACATGAGTCATACATTATGAATCAATCCATCAAGTATTATGGGGAACTTCAGTTAAGTTTGATTCAAAAAACACGTAAACATTATGTTCACTTTTCTTTTCGAACCAAGCTTTACACTTTAAGTAGTCTTTCTGAAAATGTTCAGACTTCCCACAAAAATGACATTTGTCATTTTTCTTCTGAATTTTAGTAGATGACTCGTTAATCTTTCATGGTCTTTTACCCTTTCCGTGTTTCTTAACAACTTTCTTTTCAACTCCTTAATTTTTCACATAATGAACATTGAACATAGTTCCTAGGTTTTGGAGTCAAATAACCTCTATAATTGTTATTAACCATTCATAACATTTTTTTATTAATTTTTAATTTAACAATAACAAAACATACACATTATTGCAAGTTAAAAAAAATACATTATTCATATAATAAAATATCAACATTATAAAATAACTTGTATTTCCATATATTAGTTCAAAAAAAAAAATTTGCGGAACAAACTTACCATAGCTACCAGTGTGGAACAAACTTGCATAGCTACCTGTGTTTACAGTATGTGTATCAATAAAACTTTATAGTACCTTAATATAGATCTTGAAAATTTTCAACCAAACAAATAACAATCAAGATTAATAGTATGAGTATATTATACGACTCACCATAACATAACATAAAGATAACTTCATGATCGAGTCAATCAATCGTGAACTCATGCACTTGAATTTAAAATTAATTGTACAGTGCCACGACCCAATCATGTGATTCGCCCTTGTTTTTCAATTAAAACCAATTGCATAGGAGCCATTGCATAAGAATTGTAAATGATTTGCATGCAGTTTATAGCCACTGTGCATGATTCACTTTTCCAATTAAAATCATGATTAAAATAAATTGTGCAACAAAAGGAATAAACCCAATTTTATAACCAATTCATTCAAAATTGATTGTAATGGAAAACATAAATTAGGGTTTATTCCTTTATTCAATTTTAGGAAAAATAAATTTGAAGATAAATTAGGGTTCATACTAATTTGATACAAATCCCTAATTTCATTCATAATTAGGGTTTATCTTAATTTGAGAAAACATAATTTAGGAAAAACTATCATAATTTGATAGAGAAATCCCTAAATTCTCACACAATAACATACATAAACTATTATAAGGAGACTGACTAACCTTGTTCCATGACAATGTCTTCTTCAATATCTTTGTTATTCAACTTCTTTTCTCAATCTTTTTGTCTTTTTTTCTCCTTTTACACTTTTCTGATGACTATGAAAAGAATCTTATGGCTAGAGACAAAACTTTAATTCTTTTTTTATTAACAAACGTTCGTCAAGTTGGTTATCATATGTCTTTATTTTATTTTATCTTTATTTTTATTATAATTTTCCATAATAACCAATTGATTCTTATATTTTATTAAATCACATTTGAGTCTATTATTATATTTCACATGAGTCTTATAATAGAATTAATTTATTAATTAATTCTAACATGACACACATCTGATCGTCATTATTGCGCCGATAATTACATTAGGTTGCAAGTGGGTGTATATATTGTTGTATTTCTACAGTATGTACCTTAAGGCTAGCAATAACGACAATTGAGTGCATTTGTGTAGAAAAAGAGATTGATTGTCTCACCTAGACTCTAAGTAGTGATATAAGAGAAGTTTTATCTTGCCTTATAATGAGCATCAAGTGTTTTTGTCCTAAACTGACATAACAACATTGAGAATAAGGTTGAGAATGGAAAGTTAGTTGATGAATGAACTTGTAATCAAAACAATTAATATTTTTGTGATGAATAAACTTGTAATAAAAAAAATTAGTGATGACTTGAGCATGACAAAATAATTGTGTATGGTAGGGAATTCAAGCAAAATTAAGTGATATTTGCATAAATAGAAATAAATACTAGTTCTCAAAATAAAGAAAGCAACATAAGATATTTTACGATTAAAATAGATAAAAATAAATACTTTTACTATACTATAAAACAAGAAACATAGGAGGATAAAATAGTTCCAATATGACATGGTTGAATAGCCTTTACAAAGGCTTATGCAAAATAGATTTATATTTCTTTTTTGCTCAATTTTGTACTTGCTCATCATCAAAGATTTAGATATCATTATACTTAAGTGTATATACATAAATGAACCTAAATAAGTATAATAAATCAGAATAGGTCAATCTTAACAATAATAAACTAGATGACCTTAATAAGTCAATGTTGACCTTATTATATCAATCTTAATAATAATAAACTAGATGACCTTATTAAAGTGGTATATATAACTTGTTAAATAGACAATTTAATTAAGTTGGTTTTATCCTATCAGATCGTGTATTAATATGACCTAAATAGGTCAGCCTCATTAAGCTAGACATTTTATTTCACTTTATTATATCAATCTTGGTAAGACATATCAATTAGGCTAGACATTTGTCAACCGACTTTTATAATATATATGATTCTTATAATTTATATGTATTATTATTTAAAAAATCAAATATTCTAATTTTTCTTATTTTTATTAGGTCAAACTTATTTTACCTTTTCCAAACTAAGCAATCTGCGTGCTCAAACTTTGAGATATAGCGACTTAAGAACCTTATTTAGCTACCATTTCTTTATAAGTGTTTTACCACCTTCTTTCTCAACACATGTTGAAACATTTGGAAGCTACAAGCTCGGTCAATCCCCAAAATATAAGTAAGAATAACTTCCATACTTAATATTCTTTTAAAACATATACATATATATTAAAAAATGTACCATCCTCTTAGTCGATGTTTTACAGAGCAATCAATAATATTTATTTCAACATAATATCTATCAATTAGTTGAATTTATCGAAAGTTTCTTGTTCTATAGAAAGTTTGCCGTATATACATAGTTAATCAATTAAAAAAATGATGAATGTTTGCTGGTCTCGATGTCAGTGTCTACAACCTTTGGTGTATGTTTCTTGGATTTCTTGTCGTTTTCCCTGCGGGAAACCTGGAGGACAATTATAAGACAGTAAGAATCAAATAATTATGCATGCATGATGAGAGGGTTTTTTCCTTGTAAAACTTTAGTTAGGTAAACTAAAATTATGAAACTACGAAAGATAAGAAGAAAAGACATGAACAATCGACAAATTTAAAGGACAACAGGTAAGAGAAGAGGTATGGTCACATACGATGCAAGATTTCCACTCGGATTTATCATGTCCTTGACCAGGAAGATGGCGGAATATGTGAACAAGAACAACAGCATCCAGAGCAGCATACTCTAACTGCACAAGTAGAACCGCGTTAGATAACTGAATGACTTGCTTCAAATGTATATAGCAGTCATCATATGCATTCATATCTTATCTTACACTTCTAAATTTCTTTAGAAATCATATATACAGTACAATTTGAACAATTCAATCCACAGTTAGAAAGATAAAACTGTTGAGACATTTTTTTTTTCTTTCTTTTCTGTAATATCTGTGTGTGTTCCTTATACTAGGATTAAGGGTTTGGACTGAGGCCCATATCATCTCTGTTGTATCTTTTTTATCTATAAATACAATGTAACCGTGTTTCTAGACACTCCCCCAATTGCTCCTCCATTTGCAGCCCCACGCGCAGCTTCTTCAGGCAGAGCTCCTAGGCACGTGTGTCCCACGCGCTGCCCTCTAGTGGTCGGAATCAAGGCTGATTACCACCGATCGACTCACCGGTGCCATCCGAGTCCAGTGATACCCTTATTTTTCTGGTTTGAGAACTTTGGAAGCTAGGGCACGTGGGTACCTATTGGTTAGGTTTATCTTTCATCTTTGTTTTAGATAAATGGCTTCATCTAGTGCTTTTTCTTTTTCTGCTACTCCCACCATAACCAATATCAAACTCAACTGGAAAAATTATCTATCCTGATTTGCATCAGTTGAACTATGGTTTCTAGGTCAGGGGTATCATGACCATCTGGAGAAATATATGAACTTTGTTTCTACCTTAGAGAGATCTTAATGAGAGAAAATAAACTTCCAGCTTTGTACAATCTTATGGCAGTATGTGGAACCTATGGTTCTTGAGCTTCTCAGGTCATCAAAACCTGCTCTTCCTTTTAGAAAATTGCTAAAGACATTTTTGCTAACGATATTCAGTGTCTCTTTGATTCAACTCAAAGAGTGACATCTCTCAAACAAACAAATCATGACATGATGTCTCATATTGCAAAAGCTCCTGCTATGGAGGAATTAAAACGATTTCTTGTGGCAAATACCTTAAAGGAGTTAAACTTCAAATTGGATAAATTGTATATGATTCTAATTTTTGAGGAGTCTGCACTCTGATTTTGATCATGTACGTGATCAAATCGTGATTAGGTTCCGTCGATGGATAATCTTGTCACGAAGTTTATTCGAGTTTCCAATCTTATGACAGATGAGAATCAGGTGGAGACAATTGAAACTTCAACTATGATTGCTCCTCGCAGTGGCGGATCTTGACCATTGATCTTAGGGGGCCAAATAATATATTATTAATAAATAATAAATAAATATAAAATAATCTATTATTAATAAATAATAAATAAATATAAAAGGAAGAAAGAAGATGAAAGGGTAAAAGGATAAAATTGTAGATATATATTTAAATATATTAAATGATCATTAAGTTTGAGAGGGTCAAAGTCATAAATTACATGGGAGTTACAAAATTAAGGAGGGGCTGAGAGGATAGAATTGTAAATATACAAGTAAATATATTAAATGTTTATTAAGTTTGGGGGGCCAAAATCATAAATTACATGGGAGTTATAAAACTTTGGGGGGACCACGGCCCCCCTCAACTCCCAAGAAGATCCGCCACTGGCTCCTCGTGGTCGAGGAGGAGGACGTAACAGTCAAGGAGGATGTGGGAGTACAAAAGGTTGTCCTCAATGTTCCTATTGCAAGAAGATGGGACACACGCAAGAAAACTGTTATTCCTTAACATGATTTTCCTAACAGGAATACCACTGCCCATGTTTCTAAGTCTGAAAAATCGGATATGAAAATCTCTGATAAGGAGTATCTAAGAGTTTTTGAAATTCAAAGCAGGAAAATTCAACTGTTAGGATCAATCTTCTTCCATGCCTAATATTTCAACAACATGCATTTTTCAATATGTGGAAGGTCAAAACCCATGGATTCTTGATTTAGGTGCCTCTGATCATATATAACAATTCCTCATTTTTCTCCATGTCTTATCCTAAAATTCATCAAATGATTACTGTGACTAATGAATCTAAAGTAAAGTCAGAAGGAATTGACTATGTTCCTTTAACCCCTTCTTTGAATTTAAATTTTATTTTATTTTATTCCTAATTGCCCTTATAACTTAATTTCTCTAAGTCAATTTACTCATTCTCTGAATTGTTTTGTAACATTTAATTCTATTTTTTTGTTATTCAGGAACATGGTACAGATTGTCTGATAGGAGAAGGACATGAATCACGTGGTTTGTACTATTTAAATCCTAGTCTTTCGGTGTCATGTCTTGCTTCTAACCTCAAACATATTTGAGGTTTAGAATGGGAATCTTGCCAATTAGGAAAACATGTTAAGTCTATCTTTCCTAAACACTCTGAAACTCGATATAATTTTCCTTTTTCAAATATTCATTCTGATGTTTGGGGACCAAGTCATGTCTCTTCATTTGACTTCCGTTATTTTGTAACATTTATTGATGAATTTTCTAGATGTACTTAGGTTTATTTAATGAAAGAAAAATCTGAAATTTTGTCAATCTCGTGTCTTTCAATGAAATTAAAAATCAATTTGGAAAGATAATTAAATTTCTCATAAGTGATAATGCCAAAGAATATTTTTCAATCTCCTCTTCTTTTTTATCTTCCTAAGGCATTTTACATCAATCAACTTACCATCACACTCTACAACAAAATGATATTACAGAAAGGAAAAATAGGTATCTGACCGCACTCTCTAATGTTGAATGTCAATGTTCTTGTTCATCATTGGAAAGATGCAATTCTCACTGCTTGTTTTCTGATCAATTGTATGCCATCTTTTTCTCTTCAAAATCAAATTTCTCATTCCCTTATCTTTCCAGAGATCCTCTTTATCATGTGTCTCCTCATATATTTGGTTGTACTTGTTTTGTACATAATGTTTCTCCAAATCTTGATAAATTAAGTGCTAAAGCCTGTCTTCTTGGGGTACTCTCGCCTTCAAAAAGGATACAAAGGTTATTCTCCATCCACCAAAACGTATGACATGTCTGTTGATGTCACCTTCTTTGAAAAAACACCCTTCTTTTCTTCCCCCATATAGGATGGTTCCTCTATTCAAAATATTCTTCCTATACTCTCATGTGATCCACTTATAATACCTGATTCTTCACCAATTCAACCTATAGGTCTCAATGATTCTCCTCCTCTTCGTACATATCACCGCAAGACCCCACCTACACCATTACCAGATTCTGCAAATAATCATGATTCAGAACCTTCTCCATCAGCTTCTCATACCATGGATTATTCGACCTCCTCTCCCATTTCTGATTTTGGATGGCCTATTGCACTCAGAAAAGGCATTTATTTCTCTCGGAATCCCTTTCCTATTTATAACTTTTTAAGTTACCATCCTTTATCTCCTTCCTATTCCTCTTTTGTTGTCGCTTTGGCTGATAGCACTATTCCCAATACTGTCTATGAGGCTCTTGATCACCATGGATGTTGACAAACCATGATTGATAAAATGCAGGCTCTTGAGCACAATGACACTTGGGAGTTTGTCCTTCTTCCTGGAAAAAAGGTTGTGGGTTGTAGGTGGGTTTATGCAGTTAAAGTTGATAATAATGATAAAGTGCATCATCTTAAAGCTCGTCTAATAGCTAAAGGATATACTTAAATTTATGGCCTCGACTACTATGATACCTTCTCTCCAGTAGCTAAGATTTTCACTATTCATTTTTTCCCTGCTATGGTTGATATTCGTCATTGACCTCTTCACCAACTGGATATTAAAAATGTCACGGTGACCTTGAGAAAAAGATTTATATGGAGCAATCTCCTGACTTTGTTGCTCACGGAAGTTTGGTTTGGTGTGTAAACTACACCGGTCTCTTTATGGCTTGAAGCAGTCACCCTGAGCTTGGTTTGGAAAATTCATTCATGTTGTACAGTTGTTTGGCTCGAAAGAGTGAAGCAAATCACTCAATGTTTTATTGTCATTCCTCTTTAGGCAAGTGTATGTATCTTATGGTTTATGTTGATGATATTGTTATTACAGGCAATAATTATACTAAGATCAACTAATGGAAAAATCATCTATTTGCTCACTTCCAAATTAAAGATCTTGGTCAATTGAAATATTTTCTTGATATTGAAGTGACTCAGTCAAAGGAAGGTGTGATTATATCTCAAAAGAAGTATGCTCTTGATATTATGAAGGAGACAGGTCTAACAAATTTTAAAACCCATTGGTACCCCAATGGACCCTAATCAGAAAGATAGGAGATAAAAGAGAAAAGTTGTCAGACCCAAAAAGATACAGGAGGTTGGTTGGTAAACTCATTTATCTTACTATTACCCGACCTGATCTTTCTTATGCAGTTGGAGTAGTTAGCCAATTTATACAAATTCCTTGTACTGATAATTGGGATGCCTTGATTCACATTCTGAGATATGTTAAAGGGGTCCCAGGACAAGGATTGTTATATGAAGATAAGGGTAATACTCAAATTTTAGGTTATTGTGATGCAGATTGGGCTGGTTGTCCCATTGATAGAAGATCTACTACTGGGTATTGTATCTTTATTAGAGGGAATTTGATTTCTTGAAAAAGTAAAAAACAAAGTGTTATTGCGTGATCTAGTGCAAAAACTAAGTATAGATCTATGACACTTGCTACATGTGAACTTGTGTGGATCAAACAACTCCTTCAAGAATTAAAATTCTATGATAATGGGCAAATGAAGTTGTTTTGTGATAATCAGACAGCTCTCCATATTGCCTCCAACCCAGTCTTTCATGAAAGAACAAAGCATATCAAGATTAATTATCACTTTCTTAGAGAAAAGTTAGTGTCTAAGGAACTTATAACTGAATTTGTAAGCTCCAATGATAAACTGGTGGACATTTTAACTAAATCCTTGAGAGGTCCTAGGATTCCATTCATTTGTTCTAAGCTTGGTGCATATAATCTATATGCTCCAGCTTGAGGGGGAGTGTTGAGACATGTTTTTCTATCTTTTTGTATTCTATGTGTATGTTCCTTAAACTAGGGTTAAGGGTTTGGGTTGAGGCCCATATCCTCTCTGTTGTATCTCCTTTGTCTATAAATACAATGTAACGGTCCCTTTAGACACTGGATTGAAATCGTAAATAAGTTTCTCAAGTAAAACTTTTCTATAATATATGTAGGTGGATTGCAAGACGTAGCATACTAGAAATTATATGAGAAAACTCAAGTTCTTGAAGCAAATGACACGACAGAGAAGTTTTATGATGGAGAGCATTGATGGATAATAAAGAAAAGAAGGAAGCAATTACTTGATTTGGAGTTAAAGGTCGTTGCTCCCAATTGCTGTTTCGTCGTGTCTTGTTTAAACTAGCTCCCAATATTTTCTGATTTATCATTAAAACACCAGTTTTGACAAAATAAGATAACATAAAGAAACCAGGGATTTTGATAAATATATCTCCACAAATATCACTTTAAAGTAGACATGAAACACTAAAAGGGGCACTCATACACACTACCTCTGTAAGCGCAGCCAAACCACCCCGGGGCTCTTTAAAAACATTCTGGATGTCCAGCAACATTTCATAGTTCTTGAAACACCTCAACTCTTCATACGAGTGAGCAAGTTGCCTTACATCGCATTGGAAATTATATCCTGAAAATATAAGCCATTTGGCAGAGTAATGGTTACCAGTTCAGATTACAAAACAAAACCAAGTGCTCCATCTGTCATGAGTATGTTTGTTTACAATTGAAAGAATGTGGACTCATCAAGGCCCATCAATAGTAGCATTCTCATTCAGGTTAAAGTAATAATTCTCAGAAGTTAGGAATCAGTCTTGTCCACCAAAAATATTTGCCAATATATTCGAAGACTAATGGGTTTAGAATTTTTATACCGAGTTTTAGAATTCTAGGTGACAGCAAAATGCGAGAAAGACAGTCATCTAAAATGTCAGGTACTTCTTTGTGTAACTTTATCAGATCAAAGATAAAAACCATCGTTTCAGAAGCAAGTTGCATGATTGAAACCTGAAACATGGAAATTCAAAAAGAAAAGGGGAGAATAGAGAGTTCGGCTTCTGATTAGAAAATGTCATCGCTCGGAAGACTAAAACCCAAATATAGTTATTTTCAAACAATTCAAATAAACAAAGAAAGATGTATGGAAAAAACATTAATCTACCAGGAAGATTATTTACCTTGTTTGGTTTGCTGCCCTTTACATAATTGGGTTTCCATTCACAATCAAGACCTACAACTACAAAACCCTCAATATGCCTTGTTGCATCACGCAAACCTTCCACTTCATCAACCCAAGTGATGTTTTCAACCAATAACTCAGCAAGACGTAGATATCGCCCTTGCAAGTTACTTGTTTCAGGTACTACAGGACATAAAGCAGATTTGTGTTCATCATTTTGAGAATAAATAGCAGAAAATAGACACTTTACATAACAATAAAGTTAACAAAATAAAATGGTATCCACATCAAGGTAAAGCAAAACAAAGACAATAAAAAACAGGTTTCAGGGATACAAGTAAAAATAGAAAATGACTCAAAATTGAAAAACAAAATGGAACTCATTAAGGCAAAAGAAGAAGCAACCAACTATGTTAATGAATTCAAAATCTTCGTGTTATTTATAATGCATATCATTTACTAATTTAACAAGCTGGCTTACCTATGTCCAAAAACCTGTCTAGGGAATACCGATGACATAGTTCATCAACTTTCTCCGTGTAACCAGCTTCCATTGCCAAATAAACCTTTAACGAGTAAAATTAAAATATTATACTACTATACATATTTGAAAGTTATACTGGGGCTATAAGGCTAAAACTGTCAAGAAAAACTAGCATCTACAAGTACTACTTTCCAAAAAAATAATAAATAAAAGATTTATAATCCTGATTACATCTTCATTTCAATACGACGTGTATTCATTAGTAATACATCCTAAGCACTGCAGATTGTTCAATCCCACTCAAAATTGGACATCATGGGCTCATAAAACCTTCCTGTCCTGAATTTGAAATTTTCACAGCCTTCCTTTAAATAGTATATCCACCATAAGCAATTCTAATAGCAGAAGTGTCAGGTGCTACCAATAACCAAAGCTATTAAAATTATGCTTCGGGTGCCTATGTATTATGGATCTGATATATAGGTTCGAGAGCTGGTAAAAAAACCAACAACATATTCTGGGAGACTCTTAGTCATGTTACCTTAACCAGCCATCAGTTTATACCAGACAAATATGAGTGCACAACCTGAAAATCCATTGACTTTAAGCAGTGGGTTGCATAGTTCAATTATCATTTCCAAATTATCACACATGATTATTAATTACACTAGGATTTACTGAAATAATCCTACCTTTGCCAAACAAATTAAAACAATATATTGATTGGTCATCAAATATTTAATTTTGGAAATATAATTGATCGTTATATGTATTTTTGCAGCACTAGGAACTTGCATGGCCTAAATGACCCATTACACAAGAATGGAATGTTTGTTCTAGTTTTCAAGAGGAACAAATAGACAAATAAAAAGTTAATAAAAGTTAACGGTAATAAAGACAGCTGCAGATTGTCCAGAAAGGACTGTGGAAAACATCATGTAAGTAAAGCAGAAAAAAAAGTAAATTGTCTAAGTGTCTTTTGTAAGCAGTAATAAAAAATTCAAGATCACATGTGCATGAATACAATGGTAAAACTAACCAATAAAAGACAGTAACGGCATAGTTTAAAAAGTAAACATTAGCTATGTCACACAGTTTCTAGTGGTATATACCTATTGAACTCAGAGCATGTACATAGAAGGCAGTCAATATCAAAATGGAAATAAAAACTAACCAAATATTCCATAAGGTGTCTATCATTGTTTATTCTTGCCTCAGCAACGTCCCAACATCCTTTTTCAGCTAAGTTTTTTAGTGAGCTGCAAATCAATGTAATCTTGGTAAATAAGAATTAGAAAAAGGTAAGGGGTTGTGAAATTGGATTCAAGATGCTCTGTACTAATCAAACAACACTAAATCCTCCCCATGTGAACCTGTACAAATTGTTTACCTTTCTTTAGACCTTTTGTATACATCTGGAAAATCCTGCTTCAGATTATTTTTCTTTATAATCTCATATGCATTCTTTAGCATGTTCCTCTTAACAAACTCATGTATAAGTATGGATAACATTGGTTTCCCCATAAATGTTGCCCACTTCTCTGCCGCTTTGAATTGATTACTCTCTATCATATCAAGGAGAAAAGACTGGCCATAATGATGGATAGAGAATTGCTCTATTAAAGTTACAGCCGTCATGTACAACTGGGATTTTACCAAAATAACAATATACTCTTCAACAAATTCTTTTGCTGTGCCACAACTTAAATCATGTTTTTCCTTAATTTGGAGCATTGCTTTCTCAATATTTGCTAGTTTTACATCAAAAATCTCCAGTAGTCTCATGACTATCTTTTCATCATGATAGATCTGGCCCCTAATAACATCTAGAAGTAGATGTGCTACCAAGTCTCTCACTTCCAATGAGTCTTCTGTAGTGGTAGATCTTTTAAGGAATCGGTGAAGAGCAGATACTATCAGATGAGTAAATCCTTGACCATGATCTTCAAATAATGGAGACACATACATGCATTGAACAATAAAAGTTACTGGTCCAGGTTTTGGATCATTATGGAGGACAAGATGTACTTGATGTTGAAGGGCCCTGAATTTTGCCGTTGCCTTACATGTGCCTATGCAATGGCATTTGAAAAGAAACTCCATTAAAGATAGTAGAAGCACGATGGACATTAATGAGACAGAAACACATTAAGTGTAATGAATAATCTTTGATTTCAATTCCAACAAATACATTTAATGGCTTGTTATTAATTATTTATAAAGATTGCAGATTTATAGTTTACTAACTTTATCAAGGACTCGTTTATAAGATTTGACAAAAAATAACATCAGGTCAATGAAATTGTCAGTTAGGGGATTTTCAAATAATAAAGTTTGCACATATTTTTAGACCCTGAAAAGTGATCATTGTTCCCAGATCATTTCTATACATAAAACTTACCATGCATGGCAATAACATATTAAAGAGGGAACCATGCATGTAACCATAGACATAATAGGACATAACAAATCTTAAGTTCGAACATTGATTTGTTCACCCTAAAAAAAAAAAAAAACTGTTTTGGGAAAATACATAATTAACAGTGTTAATTATTTCAAACTTTCATTCAACATAAATTTTTACACGAGTGAGATTTAGGAGAAGTTTTGGATGACCAACTATCAAACAATCATTGGGTTTTGGGAAATTTAAGATGCCTCCGCAGAACAAGTATAGGGAGGAAAGTGAAGGAGGGCTAGGGCATGAATATGATTCACTTACCATAGGCCAAAACTAAGTCTGACACAAACTGCAACGGTTATTTAGTATTAATTATATATTTAAAATTAGTGTTGATGTCAAAGGTTCATAGTGTTGAGCATGAAAACCCAGAAAGGCAACATGATGTTAAGTTACCAGAGAGGTTAATTGAACCATTTTAGCAAACACTTAGCACTCATCATCATATGATTCCATTTCAGACAACAATAATTAGCATGAAAGGAGAAGAAATCATACCATAATAATAATATTCTTTCAGCAGAAACATAAATACCACGGGAGAGACATGCGTTAAATCAGAAAAAGCATGTGTACATAAGGTCCACGTTTGGCTAGCATTGTCCTTGGTGTTGCCTGTGTTTGCTACTTTCTCCTCCAAGCCCATCACAGGTCAAAACTGCAATCAGATAACCATTTCAAAATCAAAATTTAAAGGCGTGCACCTCAACATTCTGAATTCCATAAATTCATCAGAGCATCTCAGATGTCTAATCTAAAGTTTGCTTTAAATGAATGCTGTTCTACCATCAACTATACTAAAACACATAACGCAATTGAACCAACATTCTTGTTATATTTACACACACGCATATACATAGTGATAGGATTGCTGCAACGAGATTCTACAATTGACTCCATAGTAGCATGCCGGTGAATCAAACAAGTAAATTGTGCAGCAATACCGCACTTGAAAACTAAATATAAAAAAGAGACACAAAATTAAGGAGTACCAATTATCTCTCTGCTCATATTTGTCACTCAAAATTGATTTAAATACATAAAAAAATTCAGACTCTTCACCCACAATGTTCTTTCCGTGTTTTATTTGCGGCTGAAAAAAACATCTTATTTCACGGTGATTTTGTGCAAATCATGTTTCTTCCTCTTCGGAAACGAGTTAATAATAATAATAAATAAATAAAAAGTCCCTTGCGGTTGTTTTTCTCTTTTTTCTTAATTTTTGTTTTAATATGACAAAGAAAATAACACATGCAACGGAAACAAAAGAGACTAAACTTCAAATAGAAAAATGAAAAAGTGAAAGTTGAAAACAGAACAGTGGAATAAGAGATGAAAAGAGAGAGAAACTCACCCGCTGTAGTTGAAATCTGTCTTTCTTCTGCGGCTCTGTGGTGCCTTCTGCGTGACTCAGTATATATAAATAAATATATATATATATATATATATATATAGAGAGAGAGAGAGAGAGAGAGAGAGAGAGAGAGAGAATTATCCATAACGATAATGATCAGATTTGAAGAAAAATATTAGATGGAGAAAGAGATGGGTAATTATGGTATTAAATAAAAAATATTTATTTGACATAATTTTAATAAAAATTGTGTGAGCCCTTCTCCTGTAATTTTTTTTTAATTTGGTCTATTTGTATAAAAAATACTTTTGGAAATGTTGATTCTTTTATCGGACCCACAAGATTTTTTCCATAAATGGCAAACGGTGAATAAAAACTTCAAATTTAAAAATAGGAATCTTTCGCGACCTTTTAAGGAATAATTTGGTTGTTCGTATGTACATGATTAATGAAGAATTTCTCACTGGAAATAATCTTGCTTAATTTAATTAGTCAAATTATTTAAAATAATAAGTTTAAGTTAATAATAAATCATTTTTATGGAAAAAATAAAGAAGATCAAATATATTAAATAAAAATAATTTTATGTTAATATAAGATTAAAATGCAGTTTGGTTTATATTAAATCTAAAATAAATCAAAGCAAAAAAAATTATGTTATGGTATTTTTATTTTTAATGTATCATATAAAAGTAAAATTTATTAATTTAAATTATTATTGTTCCATAATATTAAAAATATTTTTATTAAACTTTATTTATATTTTAGTTAAGGATTAGTTTTCAATTCTATTTAGCATTATTCTAAAATAAATTTAATATTAAATACCCAGAAATATATTTGAAAAACACAAGTCAAGTGGAAACTATATTAAAAACTTTCTTGAATAGCAAAACCAAAAAGAAAAATCAAATTTATTGTTAATAATCTATTAAAATATATGGTTAATTGATTATCTACAATCTGCATGCAAGTCGTTAGAGTATAATAAATTCGAATGATCAAATAATTGATTAAATAATAAAATATAATCAATTATTTTTATTATTAACCAATTAAATGCAAGATAATTAGTTATTTAATTATTATAGTTATTTATTTATTTATAAATTAAGTTTTTACTCAAAATATAACATAAAAAAATCTATTATTTAATGTATGCAATCGATTAATTGTTTATTTTAAACTAATATTAGCAGCTATTTGCCTCACTTTATATCAAAAAACATTTTTTAACAGTAATATTGTACAAATGTTTTAATATATGCATGTAAAATATGGCCTGGAGTACTGAGCAAGTGGAATATTATAAATTATTTAACACTTATAACAAATTTTGTAATAAAAAAAATATATATTACAAATTTACTATAAAAAGAGCTACGGCATAAATAACATTTTATAAGTATTAAATTTTTAAAATAAAGCCAAACATTAATTGAATATAAATCATATAAATATCACATTAATAATCAAAGGTAAAATCAAATAATAAAATGTTAAAAATATTTATTTCACTTGGTTAAATAAATGTGTGAATTGTTGTAAACTCCTTCACATATATTTAATTATACTTTTAGAAGTTGAGTGGGATGAATGGATTTAGTTACATTTTGTTTGGTAAACCCACCAAAAATATGAATCTCAAATTTAAGGAAACTGACCCAACCAATTTAAATTATAATTTTTATTCATTTTGCAAACTAATATATAAATTCATTGAAATATTACAAGTAAGCGATGCGCTAAAGGATTTATTCTTCATATTTTATATATTTTCTGTTTGTAATAGTTAAGTATGACAAAATTGTATGTTTATCTTTCTGGAGATAAGAAACAAATCTAGGGTTTACGAAAACGTGGAGTTTCTACAAAATTCCCATGTCAGACAGGAATTTTCTGGGAAATAGTTTCTGTAGAAGATCCGATTATTGTCACCAAGTTACCGGCTTCCTACGCTTTCAATTCAACCTCTCTTTCCTGTAACTTGTTGAGTAACATATTTGCATTCTTCCAGTTCTGGACTCGTTGACATTGACTATATCAACCAAACACAGTCAGAATAAGAGTTTTTTTTTTTCATATATATAATTTAAATATTGGTATAAAAAGTAAACTTATATAATAAAGGATATGTTGGTTCTAAAGAAAAAATATCAACAATAAAAATTTAATGCAGTTATGCAGTGCATCTTGGTCTTGAAACTTGAGTGGTTTAATATACGTTGTATTCATCTTCAATAAAATTAAACAAGTTTTCTTGTAGAATAATAAGAACACCAGGAATTAAGGTTTTGGGTTTGATAAATAGCGATACGAAAATGGTTCATGTGTGTTCTATTGCATGATGTTCAGTGCTTCTCTTGTTAGCGCGTAAATGGAGAAAAAACATTGTCACATGTCTCCGAAGTAACAAGTTTCACCTACTTAAAAAGCGCGTTTGCATGTTCTTTTCTGTCCCTCGCCGAGTACACAAATTACGTCCACAACAATCATTGTCTATGCATCGCTTTTTTTGGTTTCAAATGCGTAAGTTCAGAATCACTCGGCACACAATGGTTTGGAAGGTCCAGGTCCTTTCACCAAACTACGCGGTTACTTAGTAGTTATTTTGATTTCAAAGTTCCCCAATTCTTTATAAGAACAAAGACTGGTAATAGTGCTACTTTCTATTATTAAAATAACAAATGGTCACTTTCATGTTTTCGATATTTCATTAGTGTCCATAATGTTTGTTCTTTTGGTTCATAATTGACAAAAGGTTCATACTAAATACTTCCCAAGTGTCTCTTTACGTGTCGAGTTAGCGAACTGCTAAAAACGAGGCTTCCTTACATCTTCCTCATATTTATATATATGTCATTAAGGCTTCAGATTTTCTCCTCTTGTTAGTTTGCGCTATATCATTGGGATCTCTGAGAACTGTGTAAGTTGTTCATATCAAATCTTCGGATGGTATCAAATAATAGCCAATCTCTCGAGGGGAATGAAAGTGGTGAGGACAGGGGTCATAGAATTCCAACTATGAAATCTAGGCAGATACATATTGGTTCAAAAAATGCACCTCTTAGGTACTTGCCATTTGTATCTCTTGTTATGGTGTCGTTGGCTGCAAACTCTAAGTTTGATTTCTTTTTTCGGCTGTTGTGCAGTGGGAGTGGCCTTAGAAATGTGATAAAAGGGGTGTGGACCAAGGACTACGAGTTGTACTTTGAACGTTTCCTTCGAAGAGTGGTAAGAAATGTATACTGTAGTTGCTAAATTGAACATTTGGCACTTTATTTGTTTCTTTCTAATAGGTCGTTGTTCGTCTCCTTCTCATCTTATTTTCCATGAGAGTCATTTGATAGTAAAAGGAATCACATTTCTATAGATTCATTTGTTTGACTTGTTTTTTATAAGTACCAAGTACATGAATATGTACGAGTTTTTTTTTTTTAACCTTCCACTAATGTGTATGCGGCCATTGTATTCTCTATGCACGATCTAGGTACGAGAGGAGGTGGAACGTTCAATCCAAGATTACTTACCTCCAAGGTTCGTTTCTCTTGCTGAATTGTGTTCATGAGAAATAATTGTTGTGTCTATTACGTGGTTAATTAGTTGTCTTTTCAAATTTGTGACAGTGCACGGGTTAATGAGATTGGCAGTGACACGTCTAGAGCAACACTCTTTGAATTGCGTTTCACTAATAAATTGCCTAATATATTTTTTACCCACTCTAACATGATATCAGAGGATAAAACACCCATTCAAATTGCTCTCTTTGATGTTAGAGATCAGTCAGTGGTTAACGTTGGTCCCCTCTCTTCTGTAAAGGTAGAGATCTGTGCCCTCAATGGCGAGTTCGGATTCAATGGAAATGAGAATTGGACTGAAAGTCAGTTCAATGCCAATATCTTGCGTGAGAGAGATGGCCGAAGGCCATTATTGAATGGAGACAGATTTATTACTTTGAAAAATGGAGTAGGTTGTTTCAATAGAGTTATGTTCACAGATAATTCACGGTGGATAAGAAGCAGAAAGTTTAGGTTGGGAGCCAAAGTTATCCAGCCAACTTCTGATGAAGCTAACATTAAGGAAGGTAGAAGCGAACCTTTTGTGGTTAAAGATTACAGAGGAGAGTGTAAGTCTCCAAAACTAGCTTATTCTTTTCACGGTATCTACGGTATTCTGCTTTTCATTTTAGTCTTTGTTTACTAAGAAAACAATAGAAATGAGCTGAACAAATTTTGTTATTTCAGCGTACAAGAAACACCACCCTCCTTCCCTGAACGATGATGTTTGGCGTTTAGAGCAAATTGCCAAAGATGGAAAATTTCACGAGAGGCTGTCTCTCCATGGAATTCACACTGTGAAGGATCTCTTGCGGTTATACACAATAAATCCCTCTTCACTACTTGAGGTAAAAACTCGCTTTTCCTTTTCTTTTTTATCATGTTTATGTAATCATTAGTTACTTCTTTAATCCTACATGAAAATAATTATGAAATCCATTCATAGAATATGCGTATTTATTTGATTTATTGCTCTCGTGATGTGGAAGGTTGGCAACATTCCAAAGAGGTCATGGATGTCAATTATTGAACATGCCAAGACTTGTGTGATAGATGACGACGAGACTCTCGTATACCACACAGCAGAACAATCGACAAGCTTGTTTTTCAATTCCATCTATGTCCTTGTGGGTGTGACTTTTGATGGGAAAAATTATCTATCCCCTGATACTCTTACCCCCAGTGAGAAGGTATCCATTCATAACATACGGTCTTATCATTGTCCATATATAATAATATAGTATTATTATATTCATACCTGTGGGTTAGGAGTGATTGGGTCCCTTCTTCCATTGGCAGGGTGTGGTGGAAATATTGAAGCAACATGCTTACCAAAATATGGAAAATTTCAAATCAATTCATGAGACATCATTGAGCTGCTTAAGATCATTGGCATGTCTAGGAGTGGGGCACTCTGATGCTGCAGAGCATGGTCTGCAACAGTTAAACATCTCTACAGAACAAGAAGGTAAATCATCTAACACTAAATTTGTTTGGCTGTTTCATTTTAGTTATAGCCCTTGTCTTGTTTTCCACCATATATATGTTCTTCCTATTGAGTATCTGGTTCATATTTTTTTACCTGTTTTGTGCGGGTCATCAAGGAACATGGGCTGGTTATGGCCAACCAAATCCCTCAACTTCATATATAGATGAAGGTGTACATAATTACCAAATCTATGTTGATCCAGATTCAGTGCCAGACATAACAGACATGCCACTCAACAATCCCTATGTCAACGATTCGTTGGAGGAGTACACAAAGGATTTTGGCTCTGGATCGTGCGTTGAAGAGGATAATTGGGTCCCTTTTGGATAACATTTGCAACTTCTGCAAGGTAGTCATTCAACCAAGAATGACAAATCACAGATTCAACTCACAAACTGTGCTGTCGTCCCTGTAAAAACGGGGGCAACAAAATGACTTTTACTTTGCCTCTTCTGGTGGAACAAACTTCTGTCATCCTCATTTTTTCAGTTCTAATTTAAAATGTCAAACAGTGGAAAACCGAACAGCACTATGGTATAAGATTATTCAAAGTGCTCTCAAGTGCGTCATATCAGTCAAAAGGATTCTAGCAACCAGAAAGAATTTGAAGCTGTAAAATTAGAACACTTAACCTCACGCACACACAAGTATATCAAGTCACGTATGTACAATTTGTGGTAAAAATAATTCTGTACACAAAGCTGAAAGTTCCAAATACCCAATCATGAAATTAGAATTTATCCTATTTCTTTTTCTTGTTAAAGCAAAGAAGGTAATAGTGTCCTGCGATAAATAGTTATACATAAAAGTCAAAATGATCCCTAGTGCTGGGTACAATAGGTCAACAAAAAATAACTTGAACTCTGCGCATCTCTGTATTTTCGTTGCATGCTTCTTATGATGATCATTTAAACGAGGGGATCACGGAATACCAGGTATCTTACTTACAAATTTCACGCGTATGCATATTTTACTTTTTGGAATTTCATAACAATTACTCGGACACTCCAAAATTGCAGATGAAATGTAAAAAATACAACGTTGTAGAAAATTCAGACAATGCTAATTAAATTCATACAATTGTTTGGGTTTTCTTGTTGGGCTGGCTAACGTTTCTGGTTTTAAGTTTATTGGGACTAAAAATGTAAAAATAAACAAATTAGGGGAACTAAAAACAAATTTAAGTTTACTTAATATAATATTCAATAATTAAGAAAATATGGAGATTTTTTTCAACTATCTCGTGTCTTAATGCTTTAACTGCTCTAATATGAAGTTCGAAATATCATCAAATTGGATTTTGAAATCACTGAAACAAAAAATTATAAGGTTTTTAACTTGGTATTTGTTTGTTGAAAAACTTACCAAAACTTCATATTCTTTCTAATAATGTACAATTTATAATTTTTAGATATCGGTAACTATCTTGAATTTTTTTTTTAAATGTATAACTTTTTTCTTTCAAGGATGATACTAAAGTCTAACTTAAAATATTTTTAAGTCCCTTTCCAACAAAACTAATTTGATGCCATTTGTATAAGTAGAACTAAGGATTGAAAACAATATTGCACCTGCCGGATAAAATCCCCTATAAAGTAAGTAATTGGGTGGAGTTTTTTTTTTCTAAGTTATATTTCTAACAAAACCAGTCTCAAATAATTTAAATGAGTAAAGCATGAAAAATAAGCACTACACAAAATATTAAAATTATGACGGTTAAAATTAGTCGGTAATAATAAAAATTCGTCGATAAATAGATATTATTGATGGAACTCCAATAGTCAAAATTTTGTCGAATTGGATTATCGGTAAATATTACTGACGAATTTAAATAGTCCGTCGGTAAATATTTTACAAAATTACGGACAAACGAAATCCATCGATAATATTTTTATAATTTATTGCATTTTTTACTTATTTTATAACCTATTTTTTAGAGATCTCCTCTCCTTTACATTTTTATAACCACTAAGCTACTAGAATTTTTCGATAATAATTTACAAATAAATTATATTTATATATTTATATATTTATATATTTATATATTTATATATTTATTTTTAAATTATTTAATAAATTATTATAACTTAATCTAATTATGATTAAATTAAATTATTAAATAAAAAATATTTAATTTTTTAATTAGGTGAATAATTAATTTATTAGAATATATTAAGTAATTATTATATAATTTTACCAACGGATATATTCGTCGGTAATTAATTGTTAATTTATCGATGGATTTACCGATAGAAATATCCGTCCGTAAATTTACTTACTGAATTTATCGACGGATATATCCGTCGGTAATTAATTGTTAATTTACCAACAGATTTACCAATGAATATATCCGTTGGTAACCAATTATTATTTTACCGATGAATATATCTGTCGATAAGACCAAATTCTATATCCGTTCATCGGTAATTACTTATTTTTCAACGGCCACAAATCTATCGGTAAAAATCAGTCGAAAATATACGATTTTCTTGTAGTGAAGTCCGCTGAAAATAAAGTTAATCTTTATTTGTATTTTTCATTATTACACACTATAAAAAGAAAAAAATATATAACAAACTATATCCACAAATTATAAATGATAGATGGTTGAAAAGATTATTAAATCTAGCTTTTGAAATGTTCAAATATACTTTTGTTTTAGAAACATTTATTAGTTAACACAAAAGACTCAACAAAATTTGGTTATTTCATCTTAAATTTTTTAAAATAAATTGAAACTTTACAAGTTTTTTTTTCCAATAAAATTGGTATCATGTCAAATAAAGTAAATGTGAGGTATGTATTCTTTTTTTAACAAAACATAATACATGTAAACTTTAAACATTTTTTTTAAATATCAAATTATAGTAAAAATTGTGCAATTACTTCAAATAATACATTTATCAATGGATATCAATTAAAAGAATCAAGGTTACTTCATAATAATTTTCTAAAGTACCAATTTTAAATTGCCATAACTTCTTTGTGTTCCAAAACTTTTTGGTGACCCTAAACATAACTTAAAGACTTTTAAGTCCTCGTTATAAAACAGTTATCTCATAGAATTTGGAATGGGTAAAACACAACAAATATATACCAAGCAAAGCAATTGTCAGCTTCATCTGTACTTTGGTAGATAATACACTTTGAAAGAAAGATAATTTTAAACAATAAATAATATCCAAAAATTATAAATTATATGTATGCAGTTGAGGTTATGAAGTTTAATTTTCAAATGTTATTAAAAAAATATTAACACAGAAAATTTTAGGAAATTAGATTACTTCATATCATATATATTAACTTGAAATACACATGACTTCTTACTGTAACAAAAAATAATAAACATTTTTTATGTTTTCGACAAACCTATATATGTAAGATTTTTAAGTCTCCTTTCCAACAAAAAATGTCACCTATCTCTTCAAATTATATATTTTGTTGTTCTATAATGTTCCAGTGTTCTAAAATAAAATTTGACTTAAAATAAATGGGGATAATATTGAAATTTTGACTATGCTTATTTCGTATTATTTTGATATAATTTAAATATTTGTTAAATTATTTTACATATTATTAATTGGTTTTATATTAAAATTTTAACATTATATTAAAGTTGAATTTTTTTTAATTATTATCATGATTAAAAATTGTCAGTGAGTCAAAAATATTTCATCTAATCAGAGAGACTTTATTAGAGAAAAAGTGTTGAAAGTCGCAAATATTCGTTTTATAAAATCTTCTTCTCTATATTTTTATTTTTATGTCATTCCAATGTCTTTTTATTTTATTTGGTTGCAAAAATAAAACTCCATCGTGTTAAAAGCTTTTTAGGCAATTCCAATGTCATTCCAATCTCTCATTTGCTTTATGTTTTTGTTGTCTTTTTCTACTATGTATGAGTCTTTCTGTGGTGTATGACCCTTCCTTTAATTCCCTATCACTTTATTCATCCATGTATTGCATTCTTTGTGTTTATATTTGGTATTTACTCATTAAATTTAATATTTAACAGCCATTTTATGTATACATGTGTCTTTGTTGATGCGCAATGTTGTATGACATTCCATATTATTAGATTATGTTGCTGAAACGAATATTCTACTTAAAATAGGAAATTTTATATTAGTTAATTTGTCCAATTAGAAAAAAAAAACTATATGTGTTACCAATGGGAAATAACATCTATTGATAGTTAAATAAAAGAAAGTCCTAAAAAAGTATTTTGACTTAACATAATCCATTTTATACACACTTATTTGTTGACTTACTAAGGTTTTCGAATCAAAAGACCTTTAACCTAATTGCCAAAATTTTCTATCAATGTCTCCCGTCATTTGAAGTTGGTGCAAAAACACTACAAGTGATGGGAAAAAAAATTCTAAAAGTGAAAAAATTGCATCAATGTCGTGCTTCATGGTTTGTAATCCTGAACTCTTAATATTTATTTTAATACTTAAAATAGTCATACACTCAACAAATTAATAATAACATGTAATCACGATACGAAGGTTTCTCACCATCAATATAAAAGAGGAAGTTAAAATTTGAAGATGAACGAGAAATGACTTTGAAAACAATGATAAACACTTCAGATGAAAGAAACTAAATAAGAGATGTCAATTAAATAAGAAATGTCAATTAATAAAGACTTATCTTCCAATATTAGGAAAAATCTAGGAATTTGACTTCCAAGCTAAACAAAAGAGAAGTTAAATTGAGAGGTGAAAAAAAAAAACATCGATGGAGAGTTAAAAATAGTTATATTAATTTTTTTATAAGTTATCAAATTTTTTGATTGATGTCGATTTTTTTTTTTTTTTTTCTTTGAAACACTCCTAGTACTATTAACTTTTTCCCACATCTTCATCCAATTCAAACCAGTGGCATTTCCGAAAATGTGAGCGGATCCAGGTCCCATTTCGTCCAACTTCTGCTTCCACTTCCACCCACGTATATAAACCTTTCACTTTCCACTTCCCCGATTCATACTCGCATAGAAACCCAAAATTCTCTCCTACTTTCCCATATCCAGTTTTCCCTAACCCTACCGTTAGGTTCCCAATTCAAGCTCCGAGGACTGTTGCGCTGCTTCTTAGTTCGTAGGTTTCCATCGATTCTCTCTGAAACGATGTCCTATCGCCCAAGCGGGAACTCCAGGACCGATGTCCGCCGGAATCGTTACAAGGTGGCGGTGGACGCTGAGGAAGGTCGGAGACGGCGAGAAGACACCATGGTGGAGATCCGCAAGAGCCGCAGAGAAGAGAGTTTGCAGAAGAAGAGGCGCGAGGGGCTCCAACCTCAACAGATGCCTGCTTCCATTCACTCTACTTTGGTAGAGAAGAAGGTGAATTAACAAATTGCTTTCATTTTTATCTTTTATTAGTGTATTTGTCTCACTCTGATTGTTGAGTTGATTTGCATACTTCGTCATAGTTGCTTTTCCTTAATTTGTTTTTTGAATTAGAGTTGTGTGTTTTTATGTTGATGCAGCTGGAACACCTACCGTCAATGGTTGCTGGTGTTTGGACTGAGGACAATAACCTACAGCTCGAGGCAACTACTCAGTTTCGGAAGTTGCTTTCGATTGGTTCGAACTGGTCTATGTGTTTAATTTGTTTAGTGAATGTAATGGAGGGTTAGTTAATTTGTTTCTTTTTACCAGAACGAAGTCCACCGATAGAGGAGGTTATTCAGACTGGTGTGGTTTCTCGTTTTGTCGAGTTCCTGATGAGGGAAGACTTTCCGCAATTACAGGTTTTTACTTGTATGGCTTTTATTTGTTTTTTGAATTAGTAATTTGAATATTACTTATGTGATGTTTGTCTGTTGCTGCTGCAGTTTGAGGCAGCTTGGGCTTTGACAAATATAGCTTCTGGAACGTCTGAAAACACCAAGGTGGTGATTGACCATGGGGCTGTCCCAATTTTCGTGAAGCTACTTGCTTCTCCAAGTGATGATGTCCGTGAGCAGGTATGTTATTCATATCTTAACATACCTTCATTTACCTATGAAACCAAAAACATTCTTGAGATCAGAATTATTTCTGTTAACGAAATTAAAAAGGTAGCACTTTTTTATTTTTGAATTTGAATATGTTTGAGGGTGTGATGTTCTTATGTACATGCTTGCATTGTATCATGTTATCTTTTAGTTAAAGCTTAACCATTTCACTCTTGATGCTTTGGGTATTCATAGGCGGTGTGGGCATTAGGAAATGTTGCTGGGGATTCTCCTAGATGCCGTGACCTTGTTCTCAGTCACGGGGCATTGCTTCCTTTGTTGGCACAATTGAATGAACAGGCCAAGCTTTCTATGCTTAGAAATGCTACCTGGACACTTTCAAACTTCTGCAGGGGCAAGCCACAGCCTCCTTTTGATCAGGTATAAAAATATCTACTGCGTAATCTCTATAAATAAGTAATTTTTGGTTAAACATAAGAATTTTTAACCCTTACCTTTCACTTAGATATTGTATTTTTTATTAATATGATGGAATGCTACAATTTTTTCTCCATTAGTTGGCGAAATGTTACTTATGGAGTTATCAACATCAAATTTTTCCTGTTGTCACACATGATTAAAGAGAAAGCAGTTATATATTACTCGATTTTATTGTTTTTTAATGTTGTTGTTAATCAAGTCTATGTATCTAGTATCTACCCTATAGATTAGAATGTTATGTGATCTTGCATTTTATTGATACCTTATTATAGTTGGTCCTTTGATCTGATGAACATTTTTCAGTTTTTTCTTCGTTTTATTTAAGAAAAATCTTCCGTCCTTTTCTATTGTGAAGTTGCAAAATATATTTTTAGGCTCTGAACTTATGTATATGCTAGGAGAAATAAGGAATATAAAGGCCGTGAGGGAGGGCCCAAATTGATGTTTGAACCCTGGACATAATAGAATAGATACCTCTCAGGGGCGAAAATTGGCAGGATCCTAGCGGGAAAAATGTTATATGTTTGAATGTATTTGCATTTGCCTACAACTTGAGTAGGCCATTGTGATCAAATCTTACTCTTAACTGTTGTACTTCCAATCATGCAATCAAAACCGATAATATTGAATAAGTAATGGTCACTGGTAAATCCCAGGGTCATAGCACCAATGAAAAAAAAAAAAACTTTTCGGGTTAATACCCATTGGCTATCATTGAGTATTTGTTTTTTTGTTTTGTCACGCCTTTAACTATTGATTATTAGCTACTATTTATATTTCACATCATACATTTTACTTTCTTTCTTTTTTTCAAAGGTTAAACCTGCACTTCCTGCTCTTGCGCGTCTTATCCATTCAAATGATGAAGAAGTATTGACTGATGCATGTTGGGCACTTTCTTATCTCTCTGATGGTACAAATGATAAAATTCAAGCTGTAATTGAAGCTGGTGTTTGTCCCCGACTTGTTGAGCTTCTACTGTGAGTACTCCCCTTCTGAAACACGAGTATGCAAAGATATGTGTTCTCATACGTCATTTTAATGCTGTCCTACCCTTGTTCAGGCATCCATCTCCTTCAGTACTAATTCCTGCACTTCGAACTGTTGGAAATATTGTCACTGGAGATGATATGCAAACACAGGTATTATGTTCAGGAATGTCTCTTGTAGTTGTTATGTACCATATGTTACTTTGCTGTTCTACGTTGCACCATTACAGAATAAGGAAAATGGTGATGCCATTAGATGCAATTAGCCTTTTTAATGTTCCTATCTTTTTTGTGCATGACCAATCCTGTAATATAATGTCGATTTTTCTTTTTACTGTTGGAGTTTTGTTCTGTTTGTCATCTAAGATGTTTATCTATTAATGTTTCCTTTTAAGATTTCTAGATCTTTGTTGGTTTATGATCTCCCTTCCCTCTCAAATTAACAAAGTGAAATGCTATTTTCTAGAGTCATATGCCAATCCTTTCCCTTGGCTGAATTGTTTCTGTATAATGAGATTTTCATCGGAGATATTCATACGCTTCCAATCTGTAGTTTGTTTCTTAAGATGCAACTCAATAGGTTATGGCCAAGATCACTTAGTCAGCACCAATTTTGAAAGTGATGTTTTGGTATCAAACATGCTTTATTTAGTGTGTGCGTGTGTGTGTTTCTACTGCCTGTTTGCTTTAACCTAATATTTGTTGTCCAATAGGTTATCATCAATCATCAGGCTCTTCCTTGCCTTCTGAGTCTGTTGACCAATAATTATAAGAAAAGCATCAAGAAGGAAGCTTGTTGGACCATATCAAACATCACAGCTGGGAATAAACAGCAGATTCAGGTTTCGGTGCTTCATTTTATGATAATTAAAACTTGAGAGACGCCTAAGTTGTTGCAATAATATTTTGTTCAATTCCTTATAATGAACAGGCTGTGATTGAGGCTAATTTAATTACTCCTCTGGTCAACTTACTTCAAAATGCCGAGTTTGATATCAAGAAAGAGGCTGCTTGGGCTATCTCAAATGCTACATCCGGTGGTTCCCATGAACAAATCAAGTATGGGGAAGCACTATATTTTAATATTCTCCAGGAGGCTAGTACGATATTATAATTTTATTTTTTGCAATGATATGAATTATTTTCCCCTGATTTACAGGTTCCTAGTAAGTCAAGGGTGTATTAAGCCCTTATGTGACCTTCTCATCTGTCCCGACCCTAGAATTGTGACAGTTTGTCTGGAAGGCCTTGAAAACATCCTGAAGGTGGGAGAAGCTGATAAAAGTATTGGCAATACTGGTGATGTGAATCTATATGCCCAAATGATTGATGATACCGAGGGGCTGGAGAAAATTGAGAACCTTCAGAGTCACGACAATACAGAGATTTATGAAAAGGCAGTGAAGATTCTTGAGACATACTGGTTGGAGGAGGAAGACGAGACTATGCCTCCTGGGGATGCTTCTCAGTCAGGGTTCAACTTTGGTAACAATGAGACTCCTGCTGTGCCTTCCGGTGGATTCAACTTTAATTAGAAGATGCTCATGCTCTAATGGGGTACATGTTATATTTGGCATTGGTCTTGCTTATCTTATGTGTATATGTATGAATGAAATTAATCAACTGTGTTTTGGCAGTTTGCATGTGTTTTATGCTTTCTTCAATTGCAGGAGTTTTGGTCGGTCTATCCGTGAAGTCCTCCATTATGAATGGACAGCAGTTGGGGGACAAGTCAAGGTCTTCACATTGTCCTTGGGTCTTTCAAGGTCCAGCAAGTAAATACACGGTTGCTGGACCGGCTTGGGTTTTTGCAATGCCTGGTATTTCATATCTCATGGTGTAAAATGCTTTGTGGCTATATTTTTTTGCCACCTTAGAGAATACTGGAGTCTTCTTTCTGCCAAGTGATCATTCCATAGATTGCAGTTAAAGTTACGATTGTTGGTTTTTTGGCAAATGCCAAATACTACTGCCTATCCATTAGTTACAAGGAACGTTGGAGTCTTCTTTTATCCCTTCCTTTGTAAGCTTTTTTGGTTGAACTTTACCTCATGCATACTTCCATTATCATCACTATATGTAGGCCCCGGTAAATTATGTAGTACTTGAGCTTGGGACGATGTTTCGGAAAGAAAATATGCTGCTATTATTTTGTGATCTGAAAATTATATTTATACCGGGAGCTATTAGTCTATTACATCTAATCCGTCCCAGGTTCATTATTCACTCACTTGATGTGTTCAGAAGCGGGAAAGAGAAAGTCCCGAGGTGCCCCATTAAGGAAAACTTTTTACTATTATTAGTTCAGCTAGAACGAAGGATGTATGTAGTTAGAATCTAGGTCCACAGGATGCAGAATGCCTAAGTATTCGTTTTTTTTTTCTTATGATTATTTTTTATAAGAGAAATAAGTTACATACAGAAAGTGTAAAGGAGCTTTATATTGTTTCGTAGAGTTGTATTGATAGTCTAAAATTGATTTTATAAATTTATCCATCAATAAATTATTACCTACTATGCAAAAAATTAAGTAATATTTTATAGCATATTTTTCTTTTGACAGATAATGTGTTGTTTGAAATCATATTTTATGTAAAAGAACTCATTTTTCATTTGTAACTTTTATCTAAAAGATAATATCAGTAATTACATCATTAATTCCCTTGTAAAAGAAATGGTTTGTAACTCTTAAACTATCGCCAGTCCAATTATTTGTGTTAAATTGAAATTGAACGACACTAAAAATATAACCAAATGATTCACATCTTATTATTCTTTCAAAGTATATATCACATTTGTTTTTATGCATGTGAATTAAGTATATTTTCTTGATATAAAATTATATAAATATAGTTTATGTGAAAGAATTTTTTAGTTCAAAATTTAACTTTCCTTTTCTTCAGATATAATATTAAAAAAATACACATATTTAATATAAAAGGTGCCAATTAAAGTTGAACAAAATTAAAATATACTAAAAGAACTTACTTTTAAACTATTAAATAAAAAGCATTGAATATAAACTACTAATAATTTTTTTATTACTTTCTACAAGTTTTAATTAATTCACGTGAATTAAAAAGATTTGGTAATTACATCAACTCTTGGAAATCGCAGTTATTATACAAGTTCAAAAGAACTTATTTGAAAGGGGACTTGTACTATCGCTATGCTTAATAAAGAATTATGCATAAGAAATGTATCAAATAATGTAAAAATAAATAAAGATGATCTATAAAAAATTAAAGGCTCAACGGGTAAATTCAAAAATTACTACAGTAAAAAAAATAAAAAATCAAACCTCTCCCCCGCAAAAAATATGTACTAATATATGTGATAGAATGGGGAAAAATAAAGTTATAAAATAAAAGTTCTTAATTAAGTTTTTTTTTTTTTTTTAAGTAGAAATATGGCGTTTCAAGACAACAGAAACGAAACGTGGGAAAAGTCAAAATGGAACGTTGGTGAGTTGCTTCTGTTCCCTTTCTCAACCACAGTTCGCATACTTACATTGTTAACTGTGTAATTTTCTTACAAATATTGTTTTTTGCGTGTGTCTAGTTAGGTTCCAAACCTCCTCTTCCTTGCACTTGCATTGCCCGGAAACTTTTCAACTGGTAAGTCTTCAAATTTCACTCCTCTTCGCCACCCTAAAGCACTCTTCAACACTTTCTTTAGTTTTACACCTTAACATGGTCACTGAATCAGTCACCTCACCGTCCTGCGCTTTTCCTTTTTCTGATTACTCATTTTATGTTCAAGTTGCGATTTTTAACATATATTGAAATTTTTTTTTTCTTTTTAAATTTTTGGTCTTGGTATGGTCTTGTTTTGTTCATTATGTCTTGGGCCTATCATTTTATTTTGTAATGTGATACTGTAATATTGTAAAGTACTACCAATTTTATTTTTTATCACTTTGCAATTGCAATTTTTTTGACCCAAAGCACCATGATTGTTACATTGCTACATATAGCTTGTTGTTTGCCTACTAGTTTCCCTATTATTTATGTATGCATGTACATATTTTGAATTAATGAACGGAGATGAAATAGAATAAAATAATGTTAAATTTCATTTTTTAGATTGTTTTAACAGGATGCAAGAAATGGAACCTTATGATGTCCCATTCAATTCCATTCTGCTGGTGTTATCTAATGTCTGTCGATCGAGTTGTGTTATCTAGTCTGTAGGCGTGGTGCACTCTTTCCCTTCTACTTATCAGTAGGATTTTGTTGTTAGCTCGATTATTCAACAATGACTTCATGGTGGGTGCTTAGACAGCTGGTTTTGGCAATGTTCTACTTGGAGAAAGAGTTGGGATTTTTTTTTTTCTTGGTACCCTGGATATGATATCTATATACAGTCTAGTCGTCATTGCTAGGATGAAAGTGTGCCAGATGAATCCTTTTTATCCAACCCCACTTTTCTCTTTGATACGAGGACTTTAGTCATTCTTCAATCTTCATGAATTTATAACTATTAAATATTTCTGTCTAGTCATCCATATCATGGTAGATTTAACAGATAATAGTTTCTCATGCTATGCTATGTAGTTTTTTTGGGTAACTTCCCATAATATAATTTGTTTATGCTAGCATATAATTTTGTTGTTTGGTATTTTATATATTCAGCTTTATCTTTGTTTCAGGTTGTAACCACCTGCTCACTTTATAAGTAGTGCTTGATAGCTTACATTTATTGAAGTCAGATGAGGACAAGGTCTTGTATTTTTTCTTTATTGCAAGTACCCAGATGCAGCATACGTAGCTTAGTCAATTGTAGGGAAGATGAAACATTATACGGTTTTATCAAGACTTATGGAAACAACGCTAGCATCAGCGTACTTGGTTCTAGAATTTATGGACTTGAGAGAGGACTAGGTACTAAGTGGGTTAAAAGACTTGTAGCTACAAGAGCAGAAGGAAGTAAACAAAACACTTGGAACACTAAATCAAAAAGTACCAAGCATGAAATTTCTAGGGAGAAGATTTTAACAAGTGCTACTATGAATGTAAATGAAACACAGCTAGATCAGTTCCCGAAAACTCAGTGGCCTGAAGTACGAGAAATTGCTCAGTATAAAAACTTATCTGACCTACTCACTGTTATTGTTTTTGATCTTGAGACTACTGGGTATAGCAGAGTGAATGATCGCGTCATTGAGATTGCAGTTCGAGATCTCCAAGGTGGTGAGGATAGCACTTTCCAAACTCTTGTAAATCCTCAATGCCATGTTCCTAATTCACGTATTCATGGAATTGCTACCGATATGGTGAACAGACCTGATGTGCCAAGGTAATAAAATATTCTGTAGGGTTTTGCACATAATGTGTTGTGTTCCTTGATTTATTCTTACCTCTCACAATAAAAAGTCTTTTTCTCTGGTTTTAACTAAACAAATCAGTACAAATTTTCAATAGTGACCAAGGAGAAAAAATTAAAGCAGCTTAAAATTTAGAAATTATGCGTTAAGACTACTTTGTCAACATATTCTCATACTTATCTTATAGGAAAGAACCTTCCTTGGATTTACGTTTGAATGGTTATCAGATCATTTCACCTGCAAAATAAGTTCAAAATTATTGCTGAAGTAGTGGCTAGTGGCTATTCAGTTTTAATACATTGTGGTAAGTGGCATCTAAATACTTTTCCTTGTTAAGGAGTTTTATGGCTAAAGAAAATAAGTAAGAACTCATTATCTATAAATTAACTGATAAGGACTATTATTAGCAATTTCAACAGTTCTAATATGGTTGCATGACTAAATGACGGTAGTAACAATACTACCCTGACGAAAGCGTGGAAGAAACATATTATTCTGTATGATTTTAGCCTCTAAGCTCTTCATTTGCCACATGTTCCAACATTATCATCATGAGCTGCATTTATTTTTTGAGACCGATTGACTACATTAATTTTGTTCTCTCCTAAACTTGTTTTAGAATGGAAGACCTGGTACCCATCTTGTTACAGTACATTAAAAGGCGTGAGAAACATGGAGGATATGTATTATGGGTTGCACATAATGCTCGGACTTTTGATGCACCTTTCCTCATTCACGAGTTCATTCGTTGTTCCATGGAGATTCCTCAAAATTGGCTGTTTTTGGACACCCTTCCTCTGGCACGTGAGCTGATCAAGTCTGGTAGTATGTTTCTCAATTTCTCTTAAGAGACAGACACTTGAGGCTTAAGTATGAAAATATTGACTTTACATATGTTTGCATGTAGGAAAGAATCTTTCTTCGGCATCACTTGTTGCCCTTAGTGAGTTTTACGGAGTTGAAGTGGATGGATCAACTCACAGAGCCATGGTAGATGTGAACACATTGTCCCAGATACTCCCCATGTTGGCCTCTGATCTGAAGTTGACTTTATCCAGCCTTGTAAAAAAATCTTTCAACTTATCAGATTTGATGAAGGCTACGAAAAGGAAGGGTGGAATAATGTAGGGGCAGAGTTGGCTTAAATTGCGTAGGGAAATAGTGATTAAAAAGTAGTTATTGTGATTATTTACCGTCTAAATGAATGAAGAGGAATACAATAATAATGAGCTTATTAAAATAACAAAATATCTAAATTTGTAGAATATTAATATAATAAACATAATTATAAGATGATTGAATATGATTTTTTTTTTCTTTTTTATATTAAGGTTTTGGTATTGAAGAACTTAATTAGATTTGTCTTTCTGACGTGGGGCTATTTTGTTTTCTTTTCTTTTTTACTTAGAAGTAAGATCTCACGTGAGATATTATATTATTTTTGGTAGGTTTCAATGTGAGTCATACAAGATATAAGATCTTACTTTATTTTTGTTTAATGATAGATTTATATAAAAATTAAATAAAATTTTATATGATTTTTATGAATAGTAATAATAGTAAAAAAAATGAATTATAATTTTAAATTTTTTATTAATTTATTGATTTAAAGTCAATTTTAAAAATATTTTTAATTTATTTAAGATGAAAAAAAAAATCACTATCATCTTTATGATACATCTCTTTATTATTATTTTTTTGTTTTTTCCTATTCACCCTTCTTTCTTATCTTTATTCTCCCTTTTTCTTTTCCTTTCTATTCACCTTCATTTCCCTCTCTCTCAAACTCCATCATGAAATTTCAAATATTTTCCCTTCCTTATTTGGTATCCTCTTAAGCTTTTTTTTTTTTTTTTATCTCCCCGTCCTCACCTATCTCTCATCTAGGAATGACAATTAAATTTGTACTCATGAGACCAACCCGTCCTCATTCAAGTTTGACAAGGAAAAACCGAGTTGATCGGGGACGGGGTGAAGATGGGTAATGCAATCTTCATCTCGACCTCGTCCCCGTCCCTGCCCTGACTTTATATTTAAATTTAAATTTTAAAATATTAATATTTTAAAAGTATTTTATTTTCTTTTTCTATTACATGTAAGATCATTTTTTTATATTTCACCATTTTTATTTTTCTTCTACCCATTTTTTAATTTTTTTTGTCTTTTTTAATCTTTTATATCAATTAGTTTATTACATTATTATCTCTATCTTACCTTTCAGTTTTTCACATTTCCTTAATCTCTACAATCAATTTTTTTTCAATATTTTCCACCAATTTGATGAACATAAAATTTTTTTTCTTTATCTTTTTTTAAATATTTTACATAAATCTTAGTATTAACTAATATTATTTTATTTATAATTTATATTTATTAGGTTTTATTATGTCATATTTTTTTTATCTTATTAGTCATATATCAAATTTTATGTTAGTAAAATAATTGTATTTTAAAGGATTAAAAAGAATTGATAATTTAAACTTTTGTTAATTTGAACTAATTAAATAAGAATTAACTTATTAAATATTTCCTTATAAACTATATATTTTATATTTTTAAATAAAAACTTAAAAATGAATTAAATAACTATATATTTAATCAAATATTTGAATATAATATTATAATAATAATAATAATGTTATAAGTATTCAAATTGAATACAGTATTATAATAATAATAATAATAATATTAATGTTATAAATATTCAATATATATATATATATAAATAAAAAATAATTAAATATTTCTTTTACATACATATTTTTATATAAATATAATAAATTAAAAAATATATTTAATTAATAATTATTATAAATTATAAAATTATAAATATTTATTTATATATAAAAAATATATAGTAAAATTAATTTATTATAAATATAATTATCTTTTTAAAAATAATATAGATCAAGGGAACCTAAAACCTAGCGGGGACGAGGATGAAAACTTAATTTCTAACCCCGATGAGGATCGGGATAGGAACGGGGGATATTTAAAAAAGTCGAGGCGGAAATCGGGAGGCAAAACCCCACCCCGCCCAGTTGTCATACCTACTCCCACCCTATTCTTCTTAGTTTGTTTCTTTACCTTGCAATATCACTACCATTACAATCCTTTAAAACTCACTTCACCACTCATTTTCATGATCAAATTTGGAATATATGAATTTTCTTTTTTCTTCATAGTTATTCCCTCTAAATTATTTAAAATATTGTTTTTTTATTTGGTTTTAGACCTTCTAAGATTTAGTGAAAGAATCGATCTATACACTAAGGATCTTCATTTCTACTATAATACAAGATCTTAAAAAGTTGATATCTTACACTAAAAATCCACGATTTTCATTGTTATTTATAAAATTAGAAATACTAAGTTTGTTTAGAAGATTTATTAATAGAGAGTACAAACGTAGGTTATTCCTCTCAAGGACACACATTGAAATATATTCAATTCTTAATTTTTTCCGTAAAACATAAATTTGGGGATTTAGGTTTTAGAATTTGTAAAACACAATTGTATCAAGTAATCGAAATCAAAACAAAATTGAAATGAGTTCAAATAGTGGAAATAGACATCAATCCACGAATTTTCAACCAAATAATCATCTTATCATAGTTCTCTAAAGATTTCATTCCGAGTTTGAACAATTAACCGTTTCAATTAATCAATCAAATTGATTATACAAGTTAAATCTCAATATCAATCAATCTAATTCATATTTAAGTATCAAATCAAGATTCAATCAGTTCCTAATTTGATTTCTAAACATGATATTACAAATTGTTATCACAAGATGCGAAATCAAGATTAGACAAGAGAAGAACAATCTTAGAGAGAGAAATTATCGGTGCAAAACTCAAATCGGCTTGTTTGATCTTGATTCCTTGAATTAAATCTCAAGATTTAGTTATCATGGAAGAAGAACATGAAGACAATTCGATTTAAAGAGAGAAGAGGGAGAGTCACGACAAATGAGAGAAAAGATAAGATGTAGAAACTCTATAAAGTGAAATGTGGGCCTAAATGTGAGTTCTAATTAGATTTATAAGCTCAATTACAAAAGATAAGTTAATACAAATGAAAATCAAACCTGCATAGGTTCGTTACAAAATTTCAACAAATCTGACTCAATTTCTAAAAAAATGTCGAAAATAGAAAATAACTCTAAATCCATCAAATCATATATCCTTTTTAAATTTCTAGAAATATAGAATCCAATGCAACTTGAATTAGTAAAAAACAAAGTATGTAGAAAAAGTTATGATCAAAATAATAAATAAATATCATATTAGCTAAAAATGTAAAATTAAAGCAAATATATACATTGAACCCAATTTATTACTACTAACTAAAAATGAGTTTAAAAGTGAAAATAAAGCATATAGAAAGTGTATTAACCATACCATAAAGTTATAAATATGTGTACAAAATATGTGTTATCATTTAGTTCTTTATATCATTTCAATAAAGGTCTAGGTTCTTATCAGAAACATAGGATACCAATTAACCCAACAGGTACTTAAATTAAAGGAGAGGTTTGTACCTCTATTATAATCCATTGATTGAAGAAAGAGATAGTTTGTGTTTCATAAAATAAGTCTCAACTCAATACAAAGTACAAGTACAAAAAATATTGAAATTATCGACAGTCAAAATCCGTCGGTAATAACAAAAATCCGTTGGTAAATAGATATTACCGACTGAATTTCGACGATCAAAAATCCGTCAAAACGAAATTACCGACGGATTTTTGTCCGTCGGTAATATTTTTATTATTTATTTCCCCCATTATATTTTTATAGCTTTGAATATATTTTACGAGATTACTTATGGACGGGAATTCGTCGTTAATATTTTTATTATTTATTACATTTTTAATTATGTTATTTTTTAGAGATCTCCCTCCTCTTTACATTTTTAATATATATTATTATTTATTTCCTCCCATTATATTTTTATAGCTTTAAATTATTATCAAACTAAGAGAATTTTGTCATTGGTAAGATTCGAACTCAGTACCTTAAAATTAGAGGTCGATACTCCAATCACTAAGCTACTAGGATTTTTCAAAAATATTTTACAAAATAAATTATATTTATATATTTATTTTTTAAATTATTTAATTTAATAAATTATTATAAATTAATCTAATTATGATTAAATTAAATTATTAAATAAAAAAATATTTAATTTTTTAATTAGATGAATAATTAATTTATTAGAACATATTAAGTAATTAGTATATAATTTTACCGACGAATATATTTATCGGTAATTAATTGTTAATTTACCAACAATATCCGTCAGTAAATAATTGTTAATTTACCGACGGATATATCCGTCGGTAATTAATTGTTAATTTCCCAACGGATATATCCGTCGGTAATTAATTGTTAATTTATCGACGAATATATCCATCGGTAATTAATTGTTAATTTACCGACGGATTTACTCGACGGATATATTCGTCGGTAACTAATTATTATTTTACCGATGGATATATATGTCGGTAAGACCAAATTCTATATCCGTCAGTAATTTCTGTCGATAATGACTCATTTTCCGATGGTCACCAATCCTTTAATAAAAATCCGTCAGAATGGTATTAATAATGTAAGCATAATCAAAGTTAATATACCTAATTCCTCGATATAATGTTTATATATCTCAATACTTTTATTTTGATCACTAAGAATATAAGAAAAGCATCATAGTAAACTTAACAAACTAAAGTCATATGAGATGACTTTGGGACTGCCTACAATGCTAATATCATTGACCCTCTTTGGAATAAACTAAAGGTGTTCAAATATCATAATATAAATACAAATGGAATTCTCTTTCAGTTCTTTCACTCACCAAATTCTTTTTACTAGCATTTCATGAAAGATACTCATTTTCACACATAAGTTCATGCACACAAGTACCCTACGTAATGAAGCCTTGGGGGATTATGACAGGCTCCTAGGAATTGTAACAAAAATCAAATTGTCACATTTTATTTTAGGCATGAACCACTCGTGTTATCTTATAACAACAATTGTAATGCCTCTATGACAGGAAATCATGTAAATAAAAACAATCAGCAACCTAAGCCAATAGTTTATGACTTCATCAATAAAGACATGATAATCATATACGCATAAATTGGTAAGCAATAACATGTTACACTCCTACGACTATCTAGTTTTAATGGGTAGGAAGGAGATGGTGTTGGAAGAAGAATCTCTCACGTCTGCATCATAAAGACAAACACATAATTTATATTCAATAACATGTTATAGACCTACAATTATCTAGTTTTAATGAGCAAGATGGATGTGGAGTTGGAAAAAATCTCCCACATTTGCTGTAATAATGAAGACAAACATTAGAAATTAAACTTAAAGATGATAAGGGGATAGGCTCTTCATCTTAAACTTAAATTCCTGAATCCTCAACCCTTCAAAACTTAGAAATTAAAGCAAAAATCGAAATTGCACAACCTTGAGAACTATAAGTACTTATTGAATTTCATAATCACCAAGAAATTTCTAAACAAATAAACAATTAAAGCAATCAGAATGAATTTCAAAGCAAAAACAAAAGACGTAAAAGAGAGAAGGGAGTGAAATGAGAGAGAGGATTGTGAAGATTAAAACTTAATAATGGTGTGTAAGGAAAGGGGCACATGTTTTATCTTTATATAAATTAATGATAACAAAAATATAAAACATAATTTTAAAACTTTTATTAAGAGATTTATTTGATAATTAAAAAAATAAGATATTTAATTTTATTTATTCAAATTATATGAAAAAATAAATCTAAATTAAATTTAAAATAAATAAAAAGATTAAAAAAAAATTATAGATATAAAATTATTTTTAAATTAAAATTTCAAGATTTCCATAACTTCATTTCTTTATCTTCTTTGCTGGTTTTCTTTTTCTCACTCACACTTGCTTTTCCTCTTTTCCTTCCCCAGACTCTTCTTAATATATAAAAATTAAACTTTTTAATACAACCAGGTAATAAGTTAATATATTAATTATTAGTTAAAAAGTGTAAGATTATAAATAATTTGTGAATTTCAAAGTTTTTAATAAAAAAAATCATTAAAAACTAATAAATATAAAATTATGTTCAACTTAATATAGGCAAAATATCACTTAAAAAAACAAAAAAATAAAAAGATTTTATTTTTCTTTTGAGGATTGATAAAATAAAAATGATGAAAATATTCATTTGAATTAATTAGATCAATCGATTTAATTATATATATTAAAAAAAACTCTTCTCTTAATATATCAAAATTAAATTTTTTAATATAACTAGGTAATAAGTTAATACATTAATTATTAGTTAAAAAGTGTAAGATTATAAATAATTTGTGAATTTCAAAGTTTTTAATAAAAATAGCTTTTTAAAAATAATAAATGTAAAACTATTAATAAATATATACTTTTACATAATATATAAATAAAATTATAAATTTAGATAATTTCATTTTATATTTTTACTATTTAAATAGTTATATAAAAGTAATTCAATAATAAATGGTAAAATAAAATTAAAGGAAAAAGCACTACTTCCTTCACAAAATGCTTTCGTTGAGAGTCGAACTCAAGACCTCCCGCTTACTAAACGGGTGCTCTAACCAACTGAGCTACGAAAGCTACACATTAAAAAGAATGAAATGCAAATATATAAATAAGAAAAACTAATTCTTTTCAGTGACAGTCGAAAGACCTCCCACGTACTAATGCGATTAAGATATATTAATCAATTATTTTTAAATTTTCTGTTCGGAAAAACTGAAATTGCTTTCATGGAAAGTCGAACTCAAAACCTCACAATTTATAGAGCAGTGTTCTAGCTAACTGATCTATAAAAACACATTTAGAAAAATAGGTTAGAAACTCCTTTTTCAATATAGACACGTAATTAATTGTATAAGTCCATATGATGCACTTTAAAAATTGGACTGTTTCTTTAGTTGTGGTGTTAATAGGTAAACATTTGGGACTCTTTGAAGAAAGGAAATTTTGTACTAAATTGATTAAAGTACAAAATTTATATATGAGGTAATTTTCACCTCAAGTGATAAAGTGTTGACCGAGGTAGTTGGATTGCGCAGGTCCAATTCTGTTTCAAACTCCAGATATCCTTACCCATGATGTAACATAACGAAGCCTTTCGTTTTAGTTGTCCCATGGGGGCGTGTAGGGGTTCATATGATTTGCTTTGATTCAACACTCGTGGAATGTGCACCAGACATAATGTAATAAATCTCAACTAAATAAGCACGTGATAAACTTAATCAAATAGTAATGATATATAAAATGTTTATTTTTAATTGATTAAAGTTAGAAAATCAGTTTCAAGATTAGTTCTTTAGTTTAATTTAATAAAATTTGTTGTACTCTTTTTAAACTCATTCTATTCATTATCGTTACAATCATATTTTCAATTTAATATTTTCTATCAATTTTTTTTCTCTTAATAGTGTTTTCTAACAAATTACCGTTAATTAGAAATGTTGAGATCGATACATTTATGTATTCACTTCCATCCTGTACTACTTTTACTTTTCATTAATGAATTCAAAACTCATTCATCAATCAAGGAAGAAAACTTATATGAAAAGGAACTGAGCACCCAGTTCCGCAGGTTTCATCAATCAATAACTTCAGAATTCTTTGCTCAATCAAAGAAAAAAATATATGAAAGGAACGATGCACCCGGGTTCCGCAGGTAAATAATGTTTTGAGTAGAGGTTCATACTACCGCTCTATACATTTTCTTGCCTTATGTATTCTTTCCTACTATACCACACAAACTTCTGAAAGTTCTTGTGCCTCTAACACACCTATTCCACCCTACCTCCCCACCCAGTGGTAAAACAAGAAAAAAAAATGCAAGAGAAATAATATGGTCTCTACGTACAAAAAAAATATGGCTTGTCTACTCCAAAACTGCTTGGTCTTCGCTAAGACAAGGTGCGTTACGATCCAAGTAGGCAAGGGATACTGGTGTCAAATGAAAGGTCACAGAAATGATAGGTGACAAAATATTAAAAATAAATTGAATATCTCCAAGGATCACAATATAATTTCCTTAATGATTAAGAGAACCAACATTACGAAGCACATGATGACAAGCACAGTAGCACACATTATCATACCCCCCTTTTTTTGAGTTCTCTCTGCCTGCATGTCACATGAACCAAATAATTATAATAGGGGAAAAGAGATAACGAGAATGAGTTAGACGGGAAGAGGGAAGCTAGCAATACTGCCAATTAAAATAGTAAACAAAGAACGGAAGTAGGACCTTCTGCAGCTGTTTAAGGCCATCCTCAACTGTGGTTGCAACATTTTGAATATTGTAGTCTATTCTATCGACGATTGTTCCCTATATTATATATAGAGGATGTTAATGATTAAAAGAGTGTGGAGTAAAGAAATTCGTCAACTTTCTCACAGGAGGGTTATCTGCTGACCTGGTCTATGACTAGTACTGATAAATCCTTCATGATCTGAGCAAGCTCGTTCACAGATTCCACAACCTATAAAAGAAAACAACAAAAAAGTTCTAAGTCCATCTAGAACACAACATAAGGTCAAAAAATAAGTCTTTAGTAAGTGTATAAATGCAACTTTTGCTTACCTGTTGGATCTCTTTTTCTCTTTCTACTGTGAATGCTTCATTTTTTTTCAGCTTGGCCATTTGATGCTCATTAAATACCTACATGTAAATAATTGGATAGCATCAGCAGTCAATTAACATATATCAAAATACAGCCAGGGTATGACGACCATACGGGCAATACAATTTGTCTAATAAATCTTCCATCCAGCAAATAAAATAGCTAATAAACTGAGAAGAAACAAAGAAATGAACCAAAAACAATGAAAGAGAAAAATAAGTACCATATTATCCAAATCATCATCTTCATATCTTGATTTACCTCCATTTAAGTTGATCTCTAGATCAACTCCATCTTGACCCTGCAATATAAATAAAATGATAACCAAAAGCTTTAAACAAAATTCATCAGTTATTTAGTGGTGTATAGCATGAGAATTGAGATCATCTACAGATTAGATACAGTGAGCAAGGGACAAGAGACCAAGTATACTTCTTTACCATGAGATCATTGACCACAACAGAGAAAAAAATTGATGGCATGTGGGATGGAGTTTCTATACAGTACTCTAGATAAGAATTGAGAACAGAATTTAATGAGCCAAAGTGAATCAAATTGTTTTGTATTTTTTGTTATTTTTGGAATTATTTAATTGTCACAATAAATAAATTATGCCCGATAACAATAAAACGTGCAGGAAAAAAATGGTAACTTCTTTTTCTTTGTTAATTAAGGAAAGGTAAAACAATAGGCTTTTCTCTCACCTCTTTTTGCAATCTGAGACGCTTTAAATAAGTTGATTGTTTCTTGCGGAGCTCAACAGAGAGGTTCTGAAGGTCAGTAGCAAGAGATCGCTGCATGCAGGACACAAAAATAAGAAAATGTTGAACATGGTACAAGTAGCAAGCTTATTGAATAAGACAGGAAAAAAAAATGAAACTTAAGTTCATACATAAAGATTAAACAGTCAAAAGTCAAGCCACTATCAAAGATTCAATTTCATGCATAAGTGACCCAGCATCTTTCGGGCTAAGGAAGAACGGAAATGAATGGATACAATTAGCATCAAGACATTTTAGAATACGTAATAAATGATCATGACTAGCGTCCGCTGCCCCAATCATGCAACTCCAAGTAAGATGTTTGAATTAATTTAATCACACCTAATAGTTTGTTTTGTTTGAATTCATTTACATCCGTTTAGCTATATTTCGCCTCAAATATTCACAGAAGCTACTACACAGAGCCTCGACATTCTGCACATTAAATCATTACAGTCGCATAACCAAACACCTATTAAACTTTAGGATGACTTGATGCGAACTGTACAAACATTAAGCCACAAGAATCGAATATAAAACCACATGCTCATCATAAGCCTTTTCCTCATCCCCTCCTTGCTAAGTTCTCTTTATAAAACTTTAGTTTCTATACTGCATACTTGACTGCCAGAATAATGCAAGCTAAACTTGAAAACAGTTATCTGTTAGCTTATGTTAGCAATCGTATATACAGAAACATGGTATAGTTCACTCTGCAGCACTAGCAATAGTATACCGTGTAACTTTTTCTGCTGCGTTCCAAGTGACGTCCTTTGGAATAAATTTTTTGGTGTTATTAGAGAATATTGTGTCTATCCTTTTACCTTTGAACAATTTCTCATGACATAATTCGAAGGATTGGTTAAAAATGGAGGTGAAAATTTAGTGACAATGTGATTATTTGGTTGAAGCAAAGTACATGCCTCTTTAAGGATGTCTGAATGCACATGGATATGTTATTGGATGGAATTGTGATTATCAGTACGGCTTCTGTCTGCACATTCTTAAGGTTGTCTATAAGCCCCTTGATTTATGGGTTTGTTCACACCAGGAAGTAATTTAAATGGAGTTTTCCATATGTGATAATAGAGAAGCTGGAGCTCTGTTGAACTTTCAGTCTTTTATTTCCAACCTCCCCCACTCATTGCAATTCTTTCTCGTTTCTCCAGTGATGCACGGACATATGCATATATAATATAAAGATATGATTATTCCAAAAATATATAGGTATTCATGCAATATAGATATGGATAAAATCTACTTGAAATATATATATATATATATATATATATATATATATATGCTAAAAATTCAAAACCAAGAGGATACTTCCTAGACATTTCCGAAAAATAAAATATAAATTATAAATCTTTGTCATCATTAATAGCTACCTATTCTTTTAAAACAATAAAAATATTGCCAATCTCATTCCCTATTGAGCATCATCCATAAAAGGATGAAGTACTGGCCAATACCTTAAGTAGAAGCAAGCATTGGTTCTTCATAGTTTTACCAGATAAACTTCCTTTCACTAGTCTTAAAATATAAAAGCAGCATACATAGCAGTAATATTGTGGAAAAGTCTCATGCTTGGTTCATGAAGAGCCCAAAAGATTTCAAGTTGAATCAAACATATCCATTGTTATGGGGCAAAAGCAAAAATCCATCATCTATCGCATTAGTATTTTGTAAGGGTTCTCCAGTTGTACCTGCACGTTTTTCCTGACATTGGAATCCTCAGAAGGTCCAGAAGCAGAAAGTCTCCGGAGTCTCTTCTCCGACCTCTTTATTAAGTCAGTTATCTCATGTGTTAGGGTCTCGATAGCATGTTGGTCTTCTTTTCCATCTCCAAATGACGGCATCAATGCCTTTGCATGAGCCTTGGCCAATTCCGCCATTTTTGAGCGTGCACGTTGTACATTTGCCGATATTTCTTCAGATAAATCCACCCACGCGGGAGGTAGCCCCACATTGATTGCATTTGGACCCCTACGGTATCCATAGAAACAATGAACAATACATCATTTCTAAGTCTTATCTAATAACTTGAAACATGAACGCGTGTGAAAAACAAAAGGAAGTGAACTATGCATAACAATATTATAAGACGAGTGTCCGATTTTAGAAGAAACTATGCCTTTCCACTGTAATTCTATCTCTCAGCAAAAATTAAGAGTGCACCACATACAACTCATCGGTTAATCCACGACACTCGATCTCGACAATGCCAAAAATATATTTTACTAATACTAATCTAAAATTCCTGCCAGATATGGGTTCGTTTTTCGAGTGACGAGCTTGTAGAGTAAATGCGAGTACTCCTAGTACTTCCTCGAAGTATTCATGGATCAATTAAAAAGCCACGGATCTGAGAAAGAAATCTATTCGGACAATTGATCCACGATTACAGATAACAACTAAGGTCGATGGAAATATGAGATCGTAAGATCTGTGCCGTGAAACGCACCTCGAATGGCTGGGATCCTCGGTACTAAGCGGAGCGTAAGAGCGGTTGGGATTGAGGAGCGAGGTGCTGACCAACTCGATGACGGGGCCACCGCCGCCACGGGTGGAGGTGGACTGCGGCGAAGAGATGGAGGGAACACGAACACTCTTCAACGCATCTCTGTGTTTTCTGAAAAGCAGAGTGCGATTTCTCGTCGCCATTCAGATCCGGAACAAATCAAAGGAAAATGCTTCGTCGTTTCGTAACAGTCAAACCAGAAAGATCGATAGATCTTTCGCCCTCACGTGATCAAACTTCACAATCTAACGGCCACTCACGTGCCAACGAAGCTCTTCAATAAACACACAATTCACGCTCTCTTTTAAAAAATATATTTGTTTTTTACATAAAACTTAAACTATTTTGTATTTATTTTTTTATAAATACTTTAACTGATTTTAATTTTCTTAGTAAAAAAAGTAATTAAAATAATATATTATTTTAAATATTGATCAAATAAATAATTTAATTTTAAATAAAATATTTTTTCTTACAATATTTATTATAAATATTTGTATTTAATATAATTAAAAATATTTTATTTGATTTCTATATCATATCAATTATTTTATTAAATTTTTAATTGTTATTATTAGTTAAGTTTATGTTAATCATTGATGTGTATATGATGACTAATTATTGATATCTATATTAAAATTTGTTAATTTTAAATTATATATAATAAATTATTTCTACGTATAGATGACATTTAAATATTTGACATAGAACTAATAATTATTTTAATGATTATTAAAAATTTAATAAAATAATTAATAATATATAAAAATAAAAATAAAATAATTAGACTAGATGAAAATAGTTATCATACGAACAAATATATTTTATCTTTTAATTTGTTTAAATACATACAAATATTACTTAGTATTGAATTTTAAATAAATAAAAATAATTTTTTATCGAATGATAATTAAAAAAACTCTAAATATTATTATTAAATGTAATTTGATCGGTTTATGTTATCATAAAATATAATTTAATATTATTATAAAATATATTTTAGTCTATATAGGTTTAAATTATATTTAAAGTTGAAAAACATTTATAAATAAAGAAAGGTTGCATATTTTTAATTATTGCTCAATAAACAAATAATTTTTAAAAATTATTTTTATTTTTATGGTTTATGTTTTAGATTTATAGTTTAGGATTTATTAAATTATATTTTAATAATAATATATAAAAAAGAAAAATAAAAAATAGAGATTATTTGTTTATTGATTAATAATTAAAAATAATTACATTTTTAAAAAATAAAAATATTCAACCTTCCTTTCTTTGTAAATATTTTTCAACTATAAATATTTTTTTATATTTAAGAATACAACATATATCATCACTTTACAAATAAAAAAAATAGAATTATATTTAAGACTATCTATATGATACATAGTATATCGTATTTATTTATATAAATTTAGACTGAATTACCTTCATTTATTATTTATATTTTACTAAAAATTTAAATTATCTCATTGATACTCTTTCTATATATATATATATATAGAGAGAGAGAGAGAGATATTTGAAATAAAAATATAAAACACTCGCAGTTTCTAAATATAATTTTTTTTTTAATTTTTTAATTTTTTAATTTTTAATTTTTAAAATATTAATATTTATACTAATAATTGATTAATTAAGCATGTTTTGTTTGATAATTTAAAAATAAAATTAATAAATATTTAACTCATTTAAATATAAAAATAATAATAATTAAGAATTATATTTTCCGCAGATACATTAATTATTGTTTTCATTCCGTCGTATTTGTTTCCTTCTTATTTTATTTAGGCATAATTATCCTTAAGAATTAAAAAAAAAAAACGGATCTCAAGTTCATTGTTAACACTTATATAAATAACTAAAAATTAAGAAATAAGTTATTATGATACATAAAAAAAGAAAACTTAGTTACCAAATTGCACTTTTGTTATTTACTTAGAAACAAATACCTCTTACTTTTAAACTTCTACTTAATTTTCGGCTTTCGGGGTCAATACTTTCTTTCAATGACACATCGGTTGAACAAAGTAATGGTAGAGCTTGATAATTTGAGAGAATTATTCACACAATAAAGAAATCACATATATAACTTTTATCTTTCATTTTAATTTAAATTCTAAAATATTAAGACAAACACGTTTAATTAATCAATGCTAATTAAACAAAATTATGTGAAAAAAAATAAAATAAAACAACTTCTACAATATAACTAAACTCTTACTATCTTTGTTGGATTTTTTTCAGAGGATTCACTGGGGATAACAACATCATTAAGACATGAACTCAACCTACATAAGGGATTGACATCACTCACAACCCAAAATCTTAAGGCTTTGGATCTTACTTCTTTATATGTTATTCAACTTTCTCTCTTATTTTTATCCAATGTGAGACTTAGAATCACACTTGTATTTTTTAACCATAAACTGCAACAAACAAATAAAACATTATTGTTTGTTAATAAACTCTCCCTTGAATTGTATGTTCCTTGCAATAGTTTATTTTTATTTTTTGTTCTTCAAGCATGCCCAAAAGTACTTCGTAGATACTGGAAACTATCAATTTTAAGTGGTTTTATCGTTACAAATCTCTAAAAAAATAAAATCTTACATCAATATGTCTACTTCTTCCATGTAAGACTGAATTTTTGGATAATTTTATTATAGAAGGATTATCACACAAAAAAATGACAGTAACTCCTTCTTGACAGCGACCTAGATGCTCTAACATTCTTCTTAGTCAAACACATTGGCAAACACAAAATGCAGCTGATATGAACTCTACTTCTATTGTGGATAAACTAACCACTGGTTGTTTTTTTATGACCAAAATATTACACTATCTACCAATTTTAAAACATAACCAGATCTATTCTTTCTATCTTCTAGATCCATGCATAATCACTATCAGTATAGGCAAGTAATTATACATTTTCCTCCAGCTTTATAAAAAATTCCTAAATTTTGAGTCCCTACAAATATCTCAGCATACATTTCTACGAAGTGACTGTCTTTAGGATGTTCCATGAAACGACTAATCACGCTAATTGAATGTGCAATATCCGGTCTAGTAGCATTTAGATACATAAGACTTCCTAAATGTGAGATATCCGGTCTAGTAGCATTCAAATACATAAGGCTTCTTATAAGTCGTTTGAATAAAATACTATCAAATTTTGCTCCTTTATCTGTTTTCAACAACTTAATACTTGTTGGGTTGATGAAAATATTACATCTTGAAAAGTCTCACATAACATTGGATAAGCAATAGAGTGGGTGATAGTAGTTATATAATGGGCTTAAAGTCCATGAGGTTTCTCACCTAGTCAAAAACACTTTAAGCTTGTATTTGACTTTTCTTATACTCTTATTGTAAGTTTTAATTTAAATTCTTACTTTGAAGAGTGTGGGTGTACTTGGGGTCAAGGGCATGAGAGAGTTGTCTATATGAAAAATTTTCACATATTATTCTCTAGTTACCATTAGATAACAGTTGTGATTTTTTTTCGATTTTTGGAGTTTCTACGTTATATTCTTGTGTTGATTATTTTTCTCTTATTTCTCTATTAGTAGGATAATTCTCGGGGATAAATGGTAATGTTCTTTATGACGTTTTTTCCATCAAAGTGGTATTAGAGCTTATGGTTCAGCAAGATTTTTCTTAGTATGCTATGTGGTTGTAGCTTAATCTGATCTACCACATCAGAAAAGATTAATTCCTTTTTGTTTGAGAATTATCCTTGATTGCTAAAGCTGCATTGTCATTTGCAAGTGCTGTCAAACATGACATAGAGAAATTTGATGGAAGGATCCATTTTGGCTTGTGACAAACTAAAGTCAAAGATGTGTTAATACAATTTGGATTACAGAAGGCGTTGAAAGATGAGTTAAGTATCCTCATAGCATAACTGCATTGTCATGAAAAATGGTGAGTTTTTACTAGCGGTAATTGTGCAAGGGCATTGGCTATATTGATGCAAGGTGTGTGGTGATTATACACAAACGTTGGATATCATTGAAGTAGGTGTGCAGTGAAAGAAAATTCTTAGAACGGTTTAATTTCAAGTGAGTATACTCTTTATGGTGGAGTATTGATGATTGCTAGTGTAGGAAATGGAGATAAAAAGGAAGATGTGTTTATTTTAATCATGGTGGAGATTGTTGGGTTGATGAAAATAGTACATCTGGACAAGTCTTACATCACATTGGATAAGCAATGAAGTGAGTGATAGTAGGTATATAATGAGCTTAAAGTCCATGCGGTTTCTCACCCCAGTCAAAGACACTTTAAGCTTGTAGTAGAGTGTTGTGAGATTTAGTTTAAATTCTTGTTTTGGAGAGTATGAAAGAGTTGTTATCAAGGGTGTACTTGTTATCAAGGGTATGAAAGAGTTGTCTATGTGTTGTAAATTTTTTTACATAGTATTATTCTCTGGTTATCATTAGATAACGGTCATGGTTTTTCTTCGATTTTTCTAAGTTTCCACGTTATATTCTTGTGTTGATTATTTTTCTCTCAGGGTAATTCTCAGGGATAAATAGTAATATTCTTTATGGCATTTTTTTCCCATCAATACCTGAAACAATAGGATTCTTAACTAAATTACAGTCAAACATATGAAATCTAAATTACAGTTACGCATATAAAATTTGTCCAACATATCATTGATATATTTCTTTTGTCTAATAAAAATTTCGTCACAGCTTTACAAAACTTTGCCTAGAAATTATCTCATCTTGCCTAAGTCAGTCATAGTAAACTCATTCATCATCGTACTTTTAAACTCTAGAAACATTTATCCATTATTACCTATGTATATCAAATCATCTACATAGTGCACAAGTCTCACTTTGGATAAAAATGAGAAAGTTAAGTAAAAAGGAAGTATGACTCATAACCCAATGTCATCATCATACTTTTAAACTCTAGAAACATTTATCCATGATTACCTATGTATATCAAATCATCTACATAGTGCACAAGTCTCACATTGGGTAAAAATGAGAAAATTAAGTAATAAGGAAGTATGACTCATAACCCCCAATGCCTTAATGTTTCGGGTTGAGAGTAGTGTCAATTCCTTATATGGGTTGAACTCATGTCTCATTGATGTTGTTCTCCCTAGTATGTTAAATTGGTAGTCTTTTAGACCTTCCTTCAATTGAAAGGGCTCTTGATGAAGAATTTATTCCTCCCATTATATATTTTTATAGCTTTGAATTATATGTCTATTTTTTAGAGATCCCCTCCCTTTTACATTTTTAATATTTATTATTATTTATTTTTCCCATGTACATTTTAACCCGAGTACATTAGAGTTAGAAGTCGATACTCCAACCACTAAGCTACTAGAATTTTTTGATAATAATTTACAAATAAATTATATTTATATACAAATATATTTATAGATTTATATATTTATATGTTTATATATTTATATATTTATATATTTATATGTTTATATATTTATATATTTATATGTTTATATATTTATATGTTTATATATAATTAAATATTTATTTTTTAAATTATTTAATTTAATAAATTATTATAAATTAAGCTAAATATGATTAAATTAAATTATTAAATAAAAAATATTTAATTTTTTAATTAGGTGAATAATTAATTTATTAGAATATATTAAGTAATTATTATATAATTTTACCGACGGATATATTCGTCGGTAATTAATTGTAAATTTACCGATGGATTTACTTGATCGGAAATATCCGTTGGTAAATAATTGTTAATTTACCAACGGATATTTTCGTCGGTAAATCCATCGATAAATTAACAATTAATTACCGACGGAAATATCCGTTGGTAAATAATTGTTAATTTACTGAGATAAATCCGTCGGTAATTAATTGTTAATTTACCGATGGATTTACCGAACGGATATATCCGTCGGTAATTAATTGTTAATTTACCGAGCGGATATATCTATCGGTAAGACCAAATTCTATATCCGTCGGTAATTTCCGTCGGTAATGACTCATTTTTCGACGGCCACAAATCCGCCAGTAAAAATCCATCGGAAATATGCGATTTTCTTGTAGTTACTGGTCTCCTTTTGTGAAACCTTTAATACTTGCTCTTCTTAAGAATTGTGTCCATGTTTATGTACTAATAAACTACTTTGGAGTTCATCTATAGTCATGAAATCTAAATTATGAGATTCCTCATATTACATAATCGTACTTCAAAGTCATTGAACAAAGAATTTTTTTTAATAACACTAAGGTCAGATACTTGCTGCACCTTGCATGCTCATCTTTTTTGTAATTGATTCACCATTCTTCATCTGCAAAATCTCCCATTAGCGTCGTAGAGCCTGTAGTTGAGCTTGTTTCAACCTCGCAGTGACTTTATATTTTTATTTCAATGAATCTCAAATCTCCTTCGACATTGTCTTTTTAAGATAGTTTCAAGCACGGTTCTATCAATATCTTGAAATAATTAGTTTTTCACCCTCAAATCCTTTTAATTTCAACTTCTCCAGAGTTTTCCCCTCATTATCTGATAAAAAACTCCATCTACATGGCGTGGAATTACATGAAGTGTAAGATTACAGTACTCTTTTGACCTTAGTAAGTTCTCCATTAGCAATGCTCAATGATCATAATGTTCATTCAATTTTGGAATTGTAGGTTGCATGAAATTACTGTCGGTGTTGACCATGATAAAAAGCTACAGCTTGTGAAAGTTGAAATTGGTTCTGATAGCAGTTGTTATATGAGAAAAATTGGTTCTGTTATATTCATAAAATAAAAGAAGCTAAATATATAAATTTAGTTTTACAACTGATGAACTAGAAAATATTATATTCATCAAATAAAAGAAACTAAATATATAGATTTAACTTTACAAGCTGATGAACTAGAAAATATTATATTCATAAAATAAAAGAAACTAAATATATATGTTTAATTTTGATGAACTAAAAAATATGAGAGATAACTCTTACGTACTAACAAAAATAACACTCACTTACTAACCATTTGCGAACTACGTACAAAATTTAAAGCTGCAACAAACAAAAAAACATTACTATCTATAAATACTCTTATTTTTAATAAATTAACTAATTGAATTTTTTATAAACGAAAAGTTATATATGTCAATTTCACTTATTCTAAAATTTTGGAGAAGTTTAAAATTGAATCGATAAAAAGGAAAAAAAACTAAAAATTGATATATAAAATTAAAAATAAATTAAAAATAAGTTTTTAAAACTATTTTTTCGAAACAAGATGTTTTAGTTCGGATTTTAGATTAAAAATTAAGAATCAAATTAAACTAAATTGATTATTATAATTAAATATAATATTATATGTTTTAAATTAATTATTAATTAATAAATATAATTATGTCTCTTAAATAAAATATTTAATTAACAATTATAATATTATATCTTTCTAAGTTTTAAAATTGTTTTTCATATTTTTTTCTTCGAGTAAGAATCTATGAGTTAGAAGGTGATTAAATTACAAAATCATCATTAAAATTAAATGTCTAGGTTTTATTAGTTACCAAAATCATATAAACGTATCATACAAATCCATGTAGGTATTTATGTCATTTTGTGGAATGAATACAGAAGGAACTATCCTAATCTTTGGTGGATTGTGAAATTTGTGATCAAAGTTGTGTTTTGATGATTAATTAGACCTTCATAATGAATTAGGTGTTAATATCCCCATAAAGTACTCAATATTCAAAGCAATGTGATATGCTTAAAAAGACAATGTGTAATATCTTTGTGAAAATAAATATTGTAATTTATAAAATGTTAAAAATATCTCTATATATTTTTTACATGATTATATTATCTAGGTTATTTTATGTCATTAATTATTTATTTATTATAATCTTAATTTATATTTAAATTGTTTTAATGTTTTAAAAAAAATTACAATTAAAAAGAACATTATATTGTAATCAAAGTTATTCACTGTAAATTATAGAATATAATTTATATATATTAAAAAAATTATATAAAATTTAAGTTTACTTATAATATGACTTATGAATTTAAAAAGTATTTATCATAAAAATGTTAATAATCTAAAATAATCAAATAATTATACACGTTTTCATAAATGCGAATTGAAGTAACAACTAATTTGTGGATCATTAGCTGTTCAGTTTGGTTGTTACCCTTAACCACATTGTTTGCTGGTGTTCACTGTTCATAATTAAAAAAAGAAAAGAAAGAGAATTAAGAAAATCGTTTTATTACTTATAACTTGTTACTCCTAACCAAAAAAATATTGGTACAATTATTATATGTTAATCTGAAAAAAAGGAATTAAGAAAGTAAGAAGTAATTATGTTAGTTAATATAAAATTGATTATTGATATTTAAGTAGAGAGGAAATATAGTTAAAGTACTTTAGATATTTAATTATTGTATTTTTAGTCTCTAAACATTTGATTAAGCCACACACAGCATTGGTAAGGTTAGTGCATTCCAACGTAGAGTTTGCTGGACTTTGAAGTGTGTAGTAAATTGGACCCTGCTTCTTCATGCTGAGGTGGCAAGTAGAGAGAAAAAAAGTGAAATTGAAATAAAAGAAAAATGAAAATAATAATAACAATAAAAAAAAAAGGATATAAATGAAAGGAGGAAAACGCAGTAAGATTTCTCTTTGCTCCTTCTGTCCTCCCCTCAGCGGCATCGTTGTATTGTTCCTTCACATCTCTCTCTTTCTCTCTCTCACTGTCTCACTTTCTCTTCGTCCACCAAAACCCTAATCCTAATCGAGATCACAATCGGAGCGTACACAAACAGAGCCCAGTCATGGACGGTGATTCCTCTTGGAGTGCTCGTCTCTCTTCCGCCTCTAGGCGCTACCAATCCGCTCTTCAATCTCGATCAGGTTCGTCTTCTGTACTTCCCCCAATTCAATTCATTGTCCCACTTTCTTTGCTTTTCCCTTCTCCTATTCAGGATGGGGCCCCTGTCAAAAAGATTACAAATTTTTGCAACTCAGGGGGGGGGGGGGGGTATGTGCGTGGGGGTTGGATTTTATATTTCTCGATGTATATACGAAGAGGGGAAATAGGAGCATAGTCTGAAAATTTGATTTTCTGGAAAATTGTTCAGCTGGTGATTGTTGTTGGTTTAATGGTTGTTTGATGGGTTTGGATTATTGATACTGGGCAGAAAATGGAGAGTTTTGTGAAATTGGAAGCGTAATTAAAATAATATTATCTGAAAAAGCGCAGCTCAAGCTGCTATTTGGTGCCTCGTTTCTGTGGCGCGGGGACGATTATGATGACAGGGGTAATTGGGATTGTGACGATCTTGGTTAGCTATGTAGTTGGGATTATAATTTATCATATTGTGATTGTAAATTGTGTGGATTTACAGTGGAGGAGCTTTTGGGATTGTTTCGGTTCTGGTGTTTGTTTATTTTTGAGTATCTAATATTGATTTTTGTGAATGTAGACATGTTCATGGGTTTTGATGAAAATGATGGGGACGATGATATAAGGGAGGAGTTTCTCTGCCCATTTTGTTCCGAGTATTTTGATATTGTTGGATTATGCTGTCACATTGATGAAGAGCATCCAATGGAAGCAAAAAATGGGGTATGATGACTACTTTTGCCGTCTACCATTTTTCCATGCTATTTACTAGCCTTTCTAGTATTTTCTGTCTGATCGATGCATAAGTAGTGAATAATAGCCTTGAGGTTTTGTTCATTTCTATACCCCTTTTTCCCCTTTTATTTCATATGGGTAAAGTCAAATTTTATCTTGAGACTAATATTGTGATGTGTACATCAGAAACAAAGTGAATTCCCTTTATTTGTCATTAAGTAAATCAATGGTTTTTCTGATTGTATCATTACTGTGTGCAGGTATGTCCAGTTTGTGCATTGAGGGTGGGGGTTGATATGGTAGCACATATAACCCTACAACACGGGAGTATATTTAAGATATCCTTTTTTTTAAGAAGTTAAATTGGTTGTGTAAATTCTGAAATGGTTATTAGCACGACTTTTTACTCGCAGGTTAATTGAGCATTCACTATAGGACATTTTGCCAAAACGCATGCTTTAAAAAAGGATAATCAAAATAAAATTTGCAGCGCAACAAATTTTACATTTAAGCCCAGCCCTTTTACTTGATTGATTTTCTTAACCAGTGAATACATGCAGCGAAAAAGGAAATCACGGAAAGGTGGATCTTATTCAACACTATCTTTATTGAGGAAGGAGCTACGAGAAGGAAATTTGCAGTCCCTTTTTGGTGGATCTTCATGTATAGTGTCCTCATCTAATGCAGCTGATCCACTGTTGTCATCATTTATACTGCCTTTAGCTAATGAACATGCCAGCTCTCAGCCTCACTTACACACTGAGACAAGATCATCTAAAAAATGCTCAGATGAGACTGTGTCAAAAAGGTATATCTGTTTTAGTTCTATTTCTTTATCAAAAAGTTGTCACTTCCTTCCTCTTCCATGGAATTTTGCTCAATATTACAAAAGTATTCCTGGTTGGGTTGGTGGCTTTCTGTTTCCATTTATTCTTCTTCATGAACTAATATCATAGATAGTCTTCTATAGAAATTTAGAAGTTGTCTGGTATCACTCTAATATGGTGACACTTTTGGATAAGATTTGATTCACTGATATGATTTCGACCACCTTATCTACCCTCCCATTAGTGCCAACTATGTGATGCTGGCATGTTTCATTTGTTTATATTCTTTGATAGCTTCATGCCTTTTCAGTTGAACAATCTATTTGCTTTCTGAATTTTTTTTTTCTTCTAGATTAGTGCTTTGTTGCAAAACAATGCTTGCTAAGGGCATAATATGCTAACAACAATAAATCAAATGGTACGTTTGATTGTCTTAACTGCATCTACTAGTTTCTAATATACACTCTTTATGTATAGAAATGTGGAGACATCAACCTTGTCAGTTAAGGATAAGGAGGAGAAGGCAAAAAGATGCGAATTTGTTCAAGGGCTGTTGCTGTCCACCATACTCGATGATAATTTATGAAGGAAATTCATGGAGGTGGCTGCTTCAGTAGTGGGCTAATTCACATGCGATACCTGGAATGTATGGTTTGCCTGGTGAAATTGTCTATGTATTTGATCAGAGTGGGAATAATAAGTAGTAGAAAATGAATGTAATTTATGTTTTATATGTGAACTGAAGTTTAGTTCAACAAGAGTTTTATCATCTCCTTTAATCTCAGATCATAAAGCTTAAATGAAAAGGATACTTTCCTACTGGTAATCGCATTATGCTTGGAACTTTTTTATTTTTTACGGTGATTCATCAACATCACAATAAAAAACAGAGTGTCACAACTACGCGCACAGCGCAGGCAACTGTGCCAGCATATCATGTGTTTGCTTTCTATAAGAAAGGAAAAAACGAAAACAAAATATTTGAAGATTAGAACTTCATTTTGAAAATAATGTGTGTTTTTTTTCTCGTGCGTGTGCCACGAAAGAATCAGTATTTTAGTTCTGGAGCATAAATTTGAAAGGAAAACGTAGAATTCAAGGGAAAACAATCCCCTTTGGCAAACGAGAACGACGAGGTAACTGACTGAGTGTTTGACACGAAATGTAAATAATTATCAATATCCCCTTCAAATTCAGAAGTTACGATACTCAGTTAAATAAGCCGTGAATAAATTAGCCGAGTTACAAATTTTTTTGTAACAGGATTTGAATTAAATAGTATATATTTTATCTTATTTAATACCAAACATTAGTAAATAATTTTCATTATAAATCTTTCATATTTCCCTTTTTCATTCAACCAGTATCTGTATAAGCGGCCAATTAAACAAATATGTTAGAGCAGCAGCCTTTCTGTTCAGATGTAGTGAATCATATTCATATGATGTATAAACATGTAAATGAAATGTTTTTGTCTTTCTGAACTAACAAAAAGGTGGCTTTGGACACATTGCAATAATTTTATGCCTATAGACCTAATCGTAACCACTGTGACGAAAATCTTGTGTCCAAAACCCTCTTCACCACATCTCCTACAAAAGAATCAAAGCACGACGAGCAGCAACCTTTAATCAGACTCGTTGGCCCACCAGCCATTAGTTCCATGTGCGGACAGGCAGATGGAGGAGGTACATTGCAAACTTCACTGTTCTTGTGCTCAAGATCACAAGCTGCTAGGATGGTGTGCATAGAACTCCTAGCAATATCCTTCAAAGTACTGTGGCCTGAATCACAAGGATAAAAGCATTTTGAATTTTTTATGAATGCAATGAAATAAGCCAATAGCACTTCAATGGAACCATGATGCAATTTCCCTGTTATTAGATATGATGGAAAATTATTCCAATGCTCGATTAGAATAGGATCAACGCACAGGAACCTCTATAAAGGTTCTCTTCACAGACAAGAAAGTCTGTCCTGAATTTCGTAATGATCCAGGCCTTGAGGTTTGACAGACGTGAAGGCCCCACTTTATGTATTTGAGTCCCAAATGTAGCAAAAAGCCCCCTCCCTCCCCATATGATGAACGAGAAAAAAGTGGAAAAAACAAAAATAAACGGAACTGATAGAAGAAAAAGCAATACTGACCTAATTCGATATTTTGGGACAAGCTCTTCAGGTGACTTTTAACCATCGACTGCAACTGCTCCTTCGCAATGTGAAAGTTACTCTCTTCTTTGGCAGTAGGGGATAAGCCATCATCAGGAACAATGTTTGATCTGCTGAACTGATGAACTTGTTCACAATCTGGTGCTGGGGGTGTCCCCATAAGTCCAGGCCATAATGCCCCGTTCTGCATTAATGGAGAGGTATTGTTGCATAATCTCTCATCAAAAAATGTGTGGTATGATGTTCCCACATCCTGTGTCGTTGCATGAAGAGTGGTGGTTCCCCTACTTTGATCAAATTGAGAGCTATATAAGTTACTAGTTGAACTGGTAGATGAAATACCATTGGTGGTTCTGCCAGGTGTAGAAGTCATCCTATCTATTGAAAGTAATTGTTGAATTTGACGGTGTATCCAGCGTCTCTCTGATAACGTTGGTGCCCCTCCAGATACAGGAGAAGATCCTTCAACACTTCTACCACTAAATCTAGAAGGTGGAAGATTCCCAAAACCTTGATTAAAAGCTGCACGGGGTGATGAAATCAGGTTGAGGTCTATACTTTCTCGTACATGTAGAGCGGAGGGTGGTCTAACAGGAAGGTTCTGGATTGTCACCCTTGGATCAGCCGCACCTTCTTGAGCTTGGGAGCTTGACGATCCCAGAGCAACTGGTCTACAGCCATCACAATACCAATTACCTTCAGGAACTTCCCGCCCCAACCCAACACAATATGTGTGCGCAGGGGAATCACAGACATCACATAGTAGCATGAGGCCATCATCTCCACCTTGATGGCACTCTGAACAAATAACATATTCATATGGATCAATATAGCTCCTGAGTTCTTCTTCAGAGGGCTGATAAACCTGCTTATGAAATCATAATGTATTCATTAGGAGCAATGAAATTAAGAAAATGTATAAGCTAGGAGGAAGAATTCAACTACCTGGTCACGTTCAGGGACTTGTATCACCACTTCTCTTAAATCAATCCCTGTGGTTGACCGTGCAGGTTTGCTGATTGTTTTGAATCTCTGCTTACACAAAGGGCAACGAGATTCCACCTTTGCCCACTCCATAATGCAAGCAAAACAAAAGAAGTGAGTGCAACAATTTAGTACTCCCCTTACTCTTCTTTTATCTTCTTCGGATAGACAAATTCCACAGACTTGCTTACCCATCTCACTTTTTAAATCCTCCACCTTCTCCTTACCCTTTCTTCCTTGAGGTTCTTCTATCTTTTCCTTACCCTTCCGAACTGGTGGTTTCCGCAGCTGAATTTGTTCCACACAGACACCAACCTCTTCATTGTTTATTTGATGGGATGAACTCCTCAAGTTATTTCTCAAATTTCCACACAATTTCTTGGCTTCTCTCACCTGTTCTCTCTCTTCTTCAGATATGGTAAACTCAAAATCAGATGATCCAGAAGAAGCATATTCTGAGTCTGAAAGAAGCACTCTTTTTCTCTTCAGGCCCCGTTTTCTCCTACTTGTTGTCCTCATGGTTGGGCTATTATCTATAAAATCATCTTCATCTTCATCTTCATCTTTACATCTTACTTTCTTCCTTAATCTCCCATTCTTTCTTCTTTTGTTTCTCAAGGGCTTCTTTGATGGTCTAGAACTCTGTCTTTTTCTACCTCTAGCTGAAACCACAGAAGACCTTTTCTTCTGCAAAACCTTCTTGTCCATTTTCATGGCATCATTGTTCTTCTTTCTCCCTCTCATTTCTTCGTCCTCATCTGAATAATCTTCTTCCTCTGGCAAAAATTCATCATCCTCATCCTCATCGTCATAGTTAAAGTCTTCATCCTCTCCATCTCTATCTCCCTCCTCTTCTTCCTCAACTCCACCTCCGTCCACTTTCTCCTTCTTTTCCTCATCCTCCTCCAATTTGACCTCTTCCTCATCTTCCAGTTGTTCTGCATGTATTTTCCTTCCCCTCTTTGGGGAGATTTTTCCTGCACTTCTTTTCTTACTGCATACACCATTTTTGGACTTTGACCTATTGAAATTCCCCACTTCTTGAATTTCATCTTCCTCCTCCTCTTTGTATTCTTCTTCCTCTTCCTCTTCTTCCACCTCCTCTTCCTCGTCCTCCTCCTCCTCTTCCTCTTCATATGTACTCCTACCTCTCTTGTGTGAGTTTTTACTGACATTTTTCCGCTTACCAGCAGTTCCTTTTTTCGCCTTGGATCTTTTGAAATACCTCACTCTTTGAAACTCCTCTTCCTCCTCCTCCTCCTCCTCCTCCTCCTCCATAAAACTACCAAAACTTTCCTCTGATGCACATCCATCTAAGGAGGAGGAGCAATAATAGTCAGATGCCTCTCTACCATCATCTGAAACCACATAGTCCTCATCCGAATCATCAGAGCCTCCCTCCTTTGACCGAACCCTTTTTCTGAAATTGCGTTTGCCACTAAACCTTCCTCCCCTTACCATCTGCCCTAACACAAGCAGATAGCAAAAACACACAAATATATTAGAACCCCTTTCGAGTCAATGGTCAAAAAATTAAATCATATCAAATCATATATATTGTTGTAAAGGCATGATTCTTCAACACAGGTTTCCCCTTTTAAACTAAACCCTAAATGGGGGTAATAAGGTTATTGCCACAGAGTAGGAAAATAACAGCATTCATAAATTACCCTAACCACGGATCTGATTTACCAATCTACAAAAAAAAAAAAAAAAAAAAATAGTAACAGGGACGAAATTAACTAGAGAGATCCCATAATCAAGCTCCTCATAAATTGACAAGGATTATGCCAGACGCGCAAAGCAGTACCGATCAATATCAACATGGAAAAATAATCCACAATTAGGCGTCACTTACCATAATTTTGAGTGTGAGAAAAATTCTTCCGCGTAGAAAAGTAAAATTAAGGAGAGACAGAGGGGGGAATCACACGAATCAAAGCCTCAGCAATAATTGAAAAGATAAAGACCCAGTTCCGAATAAGATATTTGATCAAATCGAAACGCGAGGAGACATAGCGTTGAAGTGGAATCTTCTGAAGGGAGAAAAACTAAATAGAGAAAGGGACAGAGAAGATAAGGATTGCGTTACCTGCGAGAGGAGGAACAAAGCAACCGCAAACGATTAATTTGCTTCTTCAATTCCAGATTATGTTTCTTTCCGCAACTGAGGTTTTTCCCTTGTTTTTGTTTGTTTGCTTTTCCCCTTTTTTAATTTAATTTGTATAAATAATATTTTATTTTATTTTATTTTTGCATTAAGATACAGTATTTTTCACTTCGAAGAACGTTCAAATGGCGTCCGCATCTCTGCGAGTTGCTGAATTACGATCCAAATTACCAAAATACCATTTTAACTCAGGCACAGCTTCGTTTTACGTCATCATTATTACCTTTATACCCTCCGAAATTACTCAAAATCTAATAATCTAA